TGTCCTTTGCCTGATTTGCAAACCCCTGTATGGCAGCCAGCTGCTTGAGTGGTTTGATGAACGGGCAGCAGGACAGGACTCTTTGCAGCAGCTGTATCTCCTCTGAGGCCCCCTTCTGCCACCAGCAGGCCCTGCTCCTAAGTACTGGAAGCCCCCCTCGTCCCTGTTCTCTCCCAGCCCAGTGGGGTCTGGCAGTGCCCTGCTCTCAACCACTATCTAGATAGCTCCCAGGTCCCTGCTTAAAGTCCAAGCTGTTACAGTACCTTTGTCACCAGTTTCCTCACTAAATTCTTCCCGCTGAGTTCCTGGCTGGCTCTTGTCCATACTGCTCCAGGTATGACCTACTAATGGTTCAATACCAGAGAGATATAGAGGGGATTCCTCCATGGCTGGTAGCAGACCTTCTTCACCAACCACTAAAGTAAAAGGCCACACCTCACTGGACTTAGCACGCATAAAATCCTTGCTCCTTTGTCACTTCCACCCCTAGACTCCACCTTTGTGGTCCTCCCAGAATCTGGAGAAGGGTGTTCAGTTATTAGTCCTGTACTACCCCCTGAAGGGTGTAACACAGGGTACAAACCCACATCCTACAACATGGCACACCCGTCCTGGTGGCTTCTGCCAGGACCAACTTTAAAAACATTCTCCACCTAAGATTGTCAGAGCTCTCCCTCAGTCACTGGTAGCTCTCGTGGGATGTGTGTGCTGCCCTAGATCATGCTACCCTAACCCCTCTATACCTTTCTTCGAGGTACCCCTTTGCTCCCTCCAACAAGGGAATTTTCTATATGCCAGGTGCTTTCTGTTCATCCCAAAATCCCTGAGCTTGTGAAAATTGGGCTGAGGGTCAGTTGGACTCTGGTCCCACATATGCCTGATAAGCACGAGGCCTTGGATTCCAGTCCCAGCACCATAGACGTAAAACTCATCCAGCCATGTTCACAGATGAAAGCAAAGGCACGTGGGCAGAGTCTTGGTATTGTGTGGGATGGTCAGCTTGGGCCTTGGGGCTGAAGTTTCACTCTGTCCACCATCAGCATGAGGCGGTCCACACCGAGCCTTTGGATGAGCTGTATGAGGCGTTGGCAGAGGTCCTGACTGCTGCGGAGTCCACCCAGTGCCACCGGAGCTATTTGCTGGTATGAGACACACACCCTCCCCTGCTCTCTCCATTTGTGTCATTTGAGGACAGAACCACACAGCTTGTAACCTGCCATTGGCTGCTGCTTGCCTTCAGCATGAGACCCACCTGGTTGATGTGTGTGTCCCGTGCCGTACTGAGGAGTGCTCCCCAGTGTGGATGTACCACAGTTTGCTTCGCCAGCCTGACCTGTGGGACTCACTCTGCCCACTTCCAAGTCACTGAGTTAATTTCACTATCTCTTGGCACAGCCTTCAGGAACCGCACTCACACTCTCTGAGAGCACAGCCATCGTGTCCCATGGCACCACAGGACTGGTCACGTGGGATGCCGCCCTGTACCTCGCAGAATGGGCCATCAAGAACCCAGCAGTTTTCACTCACAGGTAACCTTGGCACACAGGGCAGGCCACTAAGACGGATGGGCCCTAGCATGGTCACAGACACGGACCCTCTTTCTCCCACCCAGGACTGTCCTTGAGCTGGGCAGTGGAGCCGGCCTCACAGGTCTGGCTATTTGCAAGATGTGCCACCCCAAAGCATACATCTTCAGTGACTGTCACAGTCGTGTCCTTGAGCAGCTCCGAGGAAACATGCTGCTTAACGGCCTCTCGTTAGAGCCAGGTGCCATCACTGATGCAGAGAGACCCCAGGTGATGGTGGCCCAGCTGGACTGGGAGGTCGCCACTGTCCCTCAGCTCTCTGTCTTCCATCCTGACGTTGTCATCGCAGCAGGTAATGCCCAGTCCAGCAGGCTGAGCATGGGGCTGCCTTGTAGGTCTGGGCTCAGGGAGTAGAGTGTTGAGACATGAACTGCAAGGGCCTCTAGGTGACATCAGAGCTTAGGTGCCTCCTGAATGTCCCAAAGCCACAGCCCCTGTCTCATGACAAGCCCACTCACCAGAAGCACCCTGCTATCCAAGAAAGGCCTGAAATGGACATTACAGGCCCACGATACCAAGCCAGTCTCATCCCTTACCTAGCTGCACCCAGGCCAACCCCATGTCCCTCAAGGCCACTTAACATCCAGTTCCCATGGGACATATGAACCACACACCAGCCCTACCCACCCTTAACCCAAGATGCCATCATTTCTCTGCTGGGATCCCCCAGACTATGCCATCACCCAGGCCTCAGATGCAGGCTGGCACTGGTCACAGCCACCCTGCGTCATTCCAGGGCCTCAGAGTAGCATGAGCCTCCCAAGACTATGTCTAGCTCACTGCCAGGGTCCTGAGCTAGGCCAGGGTGAGACCACAGGAGTCAAGTGAGGGAACAGGAGCTAAATGGCCTCTTCTGTCAATGCTGGCTGATTGCCTGTGTGTGTCTGTGACAGAGACTCAGTACCATCGTCGTGTTATGGCCCTGGCTTCCTTGACTGCACCTCTCTGTTCCAGATCCAGGCCTATATCTTTCAGAAACAGTGGGCCACCACAGGCCCCATCTTTCCCCTTCCAACTCAACAGTGTTCAGCCTGGGTCCCGCATCGCAGTCAGGCACACAGCATGCTCCCTGGTTGCAGGCATGGGAAACCTCTGCCTATGCTGCAGCTAATGGATCTACACCTGAGGAAACCTGATTATTTGGTTCTGAATCCTAATGGGTAGCCTTTTGAGTAACCCAGGCATTTCCTTGTAGATGTGCTGTATTGCCCAGAGGTGATCCTCTCGCTGGTTGGAGTCCTGCAGAGGCTCGCAGCCTGCCACAGAGACCAAGCTCCTGACGTCTATGTGGCCTTCACTGTGCGCAACCCAGAGACCTGCCAGCTGTTTACCACTGAGCTAGGTAAGCCCCAGACCTGCAGGCCACTGCTGTCCCATGAGGCCTCCAGTAAATCAGGAATCAGGAAGGTCAAGCGAAGCCTCAGGAAAAAGCCAAGAAGCCCCAACCCACACAAGTGCCCAGAATCCAGGCAGAGGCAGGGCCAGTAAGCAGAGAAGGGGAGAAGAGTTGATGAGGTGACCAGGGGTCTACGACCAATGGCCCTGAATTTGTTTTTTTTAAGTATTTTGTCTGTTTAAATTTATTTATTTACTGGACACTGGATACACTACACAGCTTGGTTTTGCAATGATGCTCCTTTCTCAGCCGCCCCAACACTAGGATTACAGACATGTGCCACCATGCCTGATGGGTCCTTGTGCTCGCCAGGAAGGGGCTTAGATTGCAGAGGTGGAGGTTGTAGTATATGCCAGTTGGCATCGATTAGAAAAGGTTCTAGCCCATAAGATAACTGAGCACAGGCCTTAAGGGTGCATCCCCTTGTCGCTCCTGCATGCACTCATTTTTCTTCATCTGCCACATGGCAACATCACTTCAGAGGTGCAGCCTCAGGCACACTCAGACCGCACCCAGCACACAGAGTACACGTAAGAATGTGGGAGCTGTGGTCATGAGCACCCAGTAAAGAGAGCAGGGAGCAGCTGTAGAGAAAGGCCAAGAGCCCACTATTCACACAACCCTAAAAGGGCACCAGTAGGCCAGTCACTATCCTCAGGCTGTCACCTGTCAGCCACCACATCTAGATGGAGCCCTGCCATCACCCTATCTTACCTATAAGACACTGGGCCACGAGGAGGCTAGGAGACCACATCACAGAGCCCACATGGAATCCAGCCAAATGACCCACCCCAAACCACCTCCCCACAGTCAAGGAGCACACCAGGCCCAACCAGGGCATTTCATGGGAAACCCAGTACAGGACAGAGCCGTCCACGCCGGCCCCACAGCAAAGCCTCTCCCAGCTGTCCACAGGCTCTGCAGGGAGTGGAGGGCCACCCAGATGTAAGCTGCATGGAACATGCACATTAATCATGGAGCACACAAATGAGCTCCCTGCACTCACAGGGGATGATGTAGAGCCCTGAGAGAGTGACATTCTTTGGGTGCTCATACAGAAAGTACCAGAAGTATATTTTAAGTGGGGGAAAAAAAACAAAGTGTCAAACAGCACATGTGAGCCTATTTTTTATTCACTGTCTTTCTACGGCAGAGGGAGTAGAGCAGGGGTAGAACACTTGTCTAGCAGGCACAAGGCCCTGGGTGCAATCCTCAGCACTACAGAAAAACCAATTTGTCTTTATGTTACTAGACCCAAGGGAATTTCTAGAATACACACGTTACACTTGGATGGTGGGATCAGACACTTGCATGCCTTTATACCTTACTATTTCATTTTTATAAATGCTAAGTTTTCATCTGTAACAAAAACTGTATTAAGAAAGCATCCTGGTGAGCTGCTCCCTAGCTTGTGTGCATACAGATGACATGCGCCCTTCTGGCCTTCGGGAGGAACCCTGGCAGAGGCATCAGGCAGATGAAGGTCTGCTTCTCAGCTCCTCTCCTGTGCTAACTGACTGGGCAGACAGATAAGAAGGCAGCAAGGAACCCTGACAGGCAGGGTGGGGCATAGCTGCACCTAGGTGTCACTGCTCATGTCCACAGACTGCTGGTCCTATCTTGAAGCTGCCTCTAGGCATCTCAGGATAGACCCAGATATCTATGAACCAAACAAAGCAGCATAGACGTAGCTGCAGCTGCAGCCTGTCCTAAGTTCTCTGGGCTGATAGATGCCTGCTTGTTCTCAACACCACCACCATCCTCAGAGGAATGTGCTGTGTTTCCAGGGCGGGCCGGGATCCGGTGGGAAGCAGTGCCTCCTCAGGAGCGGAAGCTATTCCCGTATGAAGAGCACTCAGAGACATCGATCCTGAAGCTCACACTGTAGGTTTCACCAACGGTTTGGAAGATTATTATGAAAATTAAATCACCCTGGCTTGTGATGCCAGCCCTGCCCCCAGGGCATGCTAAGACAGAGACTGAAACTGAGACTGGGCATAGTGGTGCATGCCTGTAATCCCAGTGCTTGAGAGGCTTAAAACAGGAGGATCACTATGGGCCCGATCTGTGTAGTGAGACCCTGTAGTCCCGAAAAAATAAACCTGTATCATAAGAAGTTTTTCATGTAGAAAAACTGGTAAAACTTTCATTGAACTTGAGTGTTAGAAGAATACTAAATTCTAGATGAGGAACCCCAGCCTATTCTAAGGAAATACAAACTGTGTGAGTGCTCCCTTTCTGTCCACAGTTCTGGTTCATTATCACCAGCCATCAGAAACATAGTTTGGCTCAAAGGCAGGTATTTTGTTTGTACAGATAAACATGTATATTTTCAAGTGTAATTCCCCAGCCTGCACACTCAGCCCCTCTCTAAGCCAAGACACCTGAACGTGTGATGTCTCTAGCTTAGAGCAGCAGGGCACCATTTACAGGCAGCATCAGGGCTGGAAGCTCAGTACAGCTGGGAGAAGGCAGAAAACCAGACATAAAGAGGGGTCATGAGAAGGAACAAAAAAGCAGTACAAATGGAACAGAATAAAGGAGTAATTTCAGCGCCTACAGAGCCCACAATGGACCAGTCGGTCTCCTGGTCATTCCCCAGGCAGCACCACTGTTGTGCTCTGGCCACTGAAGGGCATGCTATTCAAAAGCAAAAAGGACAGGGACTGGCGCCAGGTGAGGGGGCACTGGGGAGGCCTCACATCTTCTACAAGACAGCTGCGCCTCCATCACCCAGCACAACGTGCTCAGAGGTTCTAGTCACCAATGGGATCACGAGTCCATAACCAAAGGGAGCACAGTCTGCTGCCAGCTCTCGTGCCATCGAAGCTGCTCTGATTCCCGGAGATTCTTCCTGAACCAGTTTAGTTTGCCAGCAGGATCAGGAAACTTGGATAAAAGCATCTACAGGAAAATAAAGCTCAGAAGTTAGTTCATCAGTACAGCTCTGGCTATGGGATGCCCACTGTAGTGGTCAATACTGCCTCAAGTCCTCATTGCCTTCCTGAGCCTTCAAAGAGGCTAATCTGGTCTTCCTGTGTCCTGGGGTGCACCTGGCCTCTGCCTGCTGTTCTCATACCTGCCAGGGAGGAGCAGGCTGTGTCTGCACTTTGCTAAACAGCCTACATTAGGCTTAGCAAACCATAGCCTACAGGCCAAATCCAGCCCACCTGTCTTGGTAAGAAAAGTATCATTGAAAGCCAGCCTCTTTGTCTAGGTGGCTGGCAGCTGCTTCCACATAACAGTGAGGTGAATGGCTCTCAGAGATGCAGGATAAAGCCTGAATTGTTTTTTACCAGGACCTTCACAAAAAATGTCCACCGATCTTTCAACTGTCAAGAATAACAGTTTGTTCATTTTTGTAACAAGAAAGATGTAGACTCCCACCCCATCCCCCGTGTGGTCCTCACAGCCTGGTGCTGTGATGTGCTTGCTCCCTGAATAGCATATCCATCTGTGTGATGTCAGCTCCACACACCCAGTCAGGGCCTGCCCTGACCCTCCTGTGTCCATGGGCTGCATGCGTGACAGCCACAGCAAGGGAGCCCACCTCTGGGGCCTCTGCTCCTTCTCTCCTCCCTCTGCTTTTTCTCTAGACCCTGCAGAGTCCCACCATGCCACAGAAGTAGAGGCAGAAAATAGACTCCACACCCTCCAAGCTGTAGCCTGGGCAGGCACATTACCTGCAGCTGAGATGCCAATTCCTCTGCGTCCTCAAAAACCAAGCCATTTTCTCCATGTTTTACTAGCTCATGTAAACTGTGGAGAGAAGCAAGGGAGGCCTGAGAGCAGCCCAGGTCCTGTGGTCCCCAGCTGGGCCCCCAGCTCCCCACCCTACACAGGCTGAAGACTGGGGCCAAGGACCATGGATAAGGCTCAGGGAGACTCTGAGATTCAGTGTTTATACAGAAATAGCACCTGGAAGGATACATGTCCCAATGCCACCCTAATTTGGAAGGACACATGTCCCAATGTCACCCTAGTCTGGAAGGACACATGCCCCAGTGCCATCGTAATCTGGAAGGAGGCCCTCAGAAGCATTTGGTCCTTTTAGACATCTACTGTTCAAGGACAACATACCTCTAGGATCACGTCTGCATCTTTTTTTCTGCTCCCTGCCCTGCACTAAGACCAACATAGGCCCCTAGGAACAGCTTTCTAGGATCACAAGCACACTGACCCGAACTCAGGTCACACAAGAGTCTAACACTTGACCTCCATCCAGTGGTAGGTCTCTGAGCAGGTGGGCACATGGCTCCTGGGGGCCGCTTCCCTTTCCAGTATCCAGAGAGAATGAGTCATAGAACTGCACACGTCTCTGATTGATCTCAACCCAACTTCACAGCTCAGCCAAAAGGGATATGGGAGTGAGAAAAACCACATATGCTATACAGAGAAGCCAGCCATTCTCATTTATGAGCACAAGAGTGAGGCTCATGTTTAACACATGCATGTTTCCATTCATATGAGCCAACTACAGTTGTACCTCAGTATCCATAGGGACTTGTTCTAGGAGCCCCTGGAATACCCCCAATGTACCTGTTTCTTACGTAAAATGTTACAGTACCTTCATACAACCTATGTATATCCCTCTCTAAACCTTAAATCTTTTCTAAATGACGTGTAATACCTCATAGGATGTAAATGCAATGTATGTTATGCTATACTGTTCAGGGATTAGAGAATAAGGACAAGAGAAAAGTTGCACACTGAGAACAACTATAACCCCACAGGCCTGGCTGTGCTTCTGATCCTCAGCTGGTTGAACTCACAGATCAGGGAAGCCACAGATAAGACTTTCCAAGGGGCTCACCCCTGCCACAGGAACCACAAGGTCCTGGCCCTCGGTGCAGCTCTACCTATGCCATCCCCCAGCCGCTATTCTGAGAATGTGACCTCAGGAAAATGCAGTTCACACCTACCATTTGAAATTCACAGCACACACAGGCAAGTAACACCCGAACATGTCCACCACCTTCATGGGCAGGTCCAGACCACTGGAAGACTTGTGTAGACAGACACCCAGGTCCGCTGACCCTGGGGGTACACGAGGTATGTGGTAAGAGCCACGCATGCAGCGACTCCTCCCTCAGAGTCTGGAGACCATAGAACATTCCCAACCAACAATGCACCCAAATAGAAGTGGGGAGGCAGCCTGGGAGGGGCAGATGCTACCTAACTGCCACCAAATATTCAGCCCTATCAGCAGATGCCTCAATATTTTATGCAACTTAACTCACTTTTCCATTTATTTTTCTTCTGTGTGTTTGTGTGAGTGTATGTATGAGAGTGAATTAAATCCAAGGGCTCTCAACTACTAAACTATATCCCCAGCCCCTCTTACTTTTTTCAGACATGGCTCTACTAAGTTTCCCTGGTAAAACTCAAAACATGTGATCCTTCTGCCTTAGCCTCCCTCAATGCTGGGACTACACATACGCACCCCACACCTAGCTTCAAGTTGACTCACTTTTTCATTTAGCCACATTTTAAAATAGGGATAAAGCTCGGTGGTAGAGCACTTGCCTAGTATGCATAAAGCTCTGGGTACAAAACAAACAAACAAACATCTTTGCTTAAAAGAAAAATGTTTCTGTCAAGATCACAACGACATCTGGACAGAGGCAATGATGATCACACAGCTTTGTGAGTGTAATGACTGCCAATGAGTACACACGAAGTGGCTGTGATAAAAACTTGGTTCTGTGTTCCACTGTAATAATCTCTACAGGCCTCCACAGAGAGAACAGCTGGGCTGAAGCAAGATGTTAAGGCCAAGAGCTCTCGACCCTCTCAACCTTCCAGAAACAGGCTGGCCCCAGGCAGCGGGGGTCAGCACACCGGGAAATGGCTCAGGCCTTGAGCCTGAGGCTCTAACACTGCCCCAGCTGGCCTCCAACGTGGGGTCCAGCCAGTTAGACGGCCTAAGCTGGGAACGGCTTTCACGCTTCTAATAGTTATAAAGAAAACCAAAGGGGCCAGGGAGATGGCTCAGTAGAATAAGCGCTTCCCTGGCAAGCACAAGAGTCTTAAGTTCAACCCCCGGTTCCACCAAAAATAATAATAATAAAAAATAAAAAAAAAATTAAAGAAAACCAAAGACTATGCCATAGAACCATGGAAAACCTGCACCATGTGGCCCTTCTTAGAAAAAGCATGTAGCTTGCCCTGGGCCATGCTGAACACAGACACCTCAGTCTCCCCAATACAGCCCCCTCACCTAGAAGCAGGGGGTAGTCCTCAGCCTCCAGCCATGGGGTGCACACCTGGATGCGCTGGAAACGCTTCTGGCTGATGAGGTGGATGTAATGTTCCTTCAGAGGCCCTTTGCCTTCACAGAGAAAAGCACTTGCTGCACTGGACTGTCTCTGTCACATGAGCCTGGCCCCAGACTGCCAAGGAGACCAAACAACCACTTTCCCAGAGCCCTACCTCATCAGGCTCCCTTCCAAAGACCACACGAGGAACCCCAAGACCCAGCACGGTGTGCCCCCTTACCACCAAGACAGAGCCCCAGCACGTGCAGCCAGACAGCCTCAGGCTGAGCACAGGGCCACGTAAACACAAGTGTCAACCAGAAGGGTAATGTGCCTAGTGCAGGGAACATAAACCTGCTCCCTCCTTACCAGGGTCCCTGGTGTACAGTCCCAAGCCTAACCAGGTTCAAAAAAAGGGTGAGCAGGACAAGGCTGTTGGCCCAGTCCTCCAGCTTCTCTCCTTCACCCTGTGACTATGGAAGCAGTTTTATCTGCAACTGAGTATATAAATAAATTGACTGGGGGTCTGGGGAGATGGCTCAGTAGAATAAGTGCTTGCCTGGCAAATACAAGGGCCTGAGTTCAATCCCTGGTTCTGCCAAATAAATATGTGGAACTGAGGCCTCTTTGCTTTTCAAACTACAGAGATGCTGGGAAACTACTGGAAAAGTAGAAAGCTTGGTATCTCTGAACTTGTGCTATCTGGGATTATAATCCAGACTACACTCTGCCATCAGGCCCCTCTGAGACTCAGTTTCCCCTCTGTCAAGGATGTAGAAAACCCTCCCATGGAGCTGGGGATGTAGCTCTGTGATACGGCACTTGTCTATCATTTACAAGGCCCTAGGTTCCATCCCTATCACTGTTTAAAACCCCACCCCAGAGAGTTGAATCACTGCCATGTGGAAAGCTCAGTCAAGGCTGCCCCCATCCTATCCACAGCCCCCACCTAAATACAGGTGGTCAAGAGTTCCTCCCCAAATAGAGGATGTGAGGGTAGCTAGGCAGTACCTGTTATCACACAGACTAAAGAAGGAAGGCTGTCTCCATCAGATGCCAGTTGTTCAAACTCTGTTAAAATAAAGAAATGCTACACAGAATTCTCTTCAGTGGAGGAGGAGAAAAGGTCAGGAGCCAGGGTGCGCCCCGGGGAACCCACCAATCTGAGATGCCCGCCCTCCCTCCCTAGGCCCTCGTCACTCAGTCACCCCATGGGAACACAGCCCTGCACCCACCCCCAAGGGTTCTGTCCTCAGGCAGGTCCGCCCATGCCCTGGGGTCAGGAACACACTGCACACTGCACACCCTGCAAGGCCAGGTGAGCTCACTGCTCAGCCCCGGGGTTCTGTCCAAGCCACACACCTACTTTCCAATGCTGCCAGCAAGATAGAGAAGTCCTCGTCCTCTGCAAGAAAAAAAGCGAGCCTCACAGCCTGTTTCCGGAACACCCCCATCCCAGCCCCCACACCACCCCTTTCTCATAGACAACAAGGACATGGGCCCCCAGGTGCCCAGTGGCAGACCTGTCCAGCTCGTGCTGCTGACCAGCAGCGCCGGCCGCCTGCAAAGACGAGTCACCACCCTGGTCTGAGCATCCCTCTCTGTGAAGGCAGTCCTCTCTGTGTCTGGGTCAGAGGGTTCTGAGCTACAGCAGGAGAGAAAATCCCTAAGTGGCCGCAGAACAGGCCAGGGGCCAGGAGAACACTGCTGAGGCCTGGATCTAAATGGGCCCCAAGAAAACACCTTCAGACTATAAGGTTACATGAAATAAACCAGATACTCAAGTTTAAATATCACATAATTTCTCTTACATAAGAAGCCCGAAATATAAAGAGCAAAATAAAAGATAGGTAACAGGAAACAAGGAGGCAGATCTTTTGAAAACAGGAATGAGATCACGAGAGGGAGACGGAGAGGGAACAGAGGAGAAAGGGAAGTAAAAAGAATCAAGATGTGTCACATACATGTACCAACTTCCTGTGAGGCGTGTAATCATTATGTACTACAAACATACACTGATAAATACTAAAAATAACACAGCGTCTCCCCAGGCTCTCAAGTTTTCACCTTCTGGAAGATGACTGGATCACGGGGGCGCTATGCTCCTTGGGGGACTGACCCACTGATGAGTTCACAGTTGAATGTGCAGTGTGGGGCGGTGTCTGGCTGGAGAGGTGAGCCACTGGGGGGGGGGGGGTCTCCCTGGACTCCTCCCTTCCCTCTCTGCCTCCAGGCTACTAAGGGTTGAACAGTGTTCCTCCACCACACCCTTCTGCCATGACATTCCTGACACCAGGAGCCAATCTAAATCTCTTTTCCTTCAAGTGGTAGGTATGAGGTGGGCCTGAGTGACAAGAACGCTAACAGAGACCCCTCCTACCACAGTGAGGTTCACTGGCTTCGAAGGTTGGGGCTCCAGGACATGTCGGCACCCAGCCAACCCTACCAAACAATCATCTGTTGCTGAGTGCTAAGGTCACAGAGCAAGCAAGCCACCGGTGTGCACCTGCACAGGGCCCTCTGCTCTACCCTTATCATCAGGATGCGCAGAGGGCGGAACAGGTCCCCTCCTTAGCCCATGACACACATAGAAGACACACAGGACCAGGATCAGCACAAGCACAGGAACTCTGGCAAGGGGATAAGGGAGCACAGGGCTCAGCAAATCTTTCCTTAAAGGCCCAGAGAATGATGATCTCAGGCTTTGCAGGTCAGACGGTCTCTGCTCCAAAACCCAGCTCCCCTGCTGTAGGCCACAGGCAGCTACAGATGAGAGTGATTAAGCTGTATTTCAGCAAAACTACAGAAAGACAGCTGGCTGAAGCCTACTTTGCCACCTCCTGCACTAGCATGTCACCAATCTGCAGAGGGAGATGGAGAGACCAGGATGGCAGTGGGCACAAGAAAAGGTAACTGAGGAAAAAAAAAAAAAGGTAACTGAGGATGGTGACGCACCAGGCCCTGAACAGAGAGTATGTGCGACCCAGCTTCATGAAGAGCTCGTGCTGCAGGTCCAGGGGCGTCTCCTTAAAAAAAGATGCTGGCTTGTCGTAGACAGTCACAGCCCTGCAATGAGATAGGGCAGGGCGGAGAGACCTAAGGAAGAGAGGACCCGGGAAGAATCCCTGTGACAATAAGAACCTTTACAACTACTGAGAAAGCACACAGGGGTTCTAACGCCCAAACTGCCTTGCAAAGAAACAACTCCCCCATCACCCCCGCCTCTCCCAGCTTCCCCAAACCAGTGACCATGCCCCAGTCCCTGGGCATTTATTTCTGCATGGCCCACCAGCATGACACAACAAGCAACACAGCTCTCAACCAACCCTGGGGTCCTACTATACCCATAAGACTGCAGGCGCCCTGGCCCCCCACACCTGATGCACCAGTTCTCTGCCAGGTCCTCCCGCATAGCATTCGTCACACATAAGTTCAGGTGGGACATGCGCCCGAAGAGCTTCTCGTACCTGCAAAGATATATGGAGGTCACCAGTGTTCCATTTGGGCCCAGATGCCCCCATGCCATCCGAACACCTCAATGCTCAACACAGGAGGGGCTGCAGGGCTGGGGTCACCCCTCTACCAGGATTCTCACCCCGAGCCCCTCTGCACCCTACTTTTTCACACCTTCCTCATGTCATGTCACTTTTCTGTTTAAATGCAGTTGCTTTCAAAGGAAGCTGCATACACTGCCAGAGAGCCTTTTGTACAATAAAGAGGAGAAATACGACAAAGGCTGAATAACTGAACCTTACCTGCCCTGTGCTATCACTGTGGAAGCTGTGCTTGCTCTCAGAGTGTACAAAGAAGTGTAACAAATGTCAGACAGAAAATATAATGTCAGAGAGCTGTGAAACACGCTGGCTGCAAACCAAAGCTGGAGCCCTGGTCTTAGAGGAGAACTGGAAAGGAAAGAATGGTTCAAGAGTACCTGATATCACCAGAGTATCACAGCTTTTTCTTCCCTACAAAGGCAGAGAAAATTCTAAACTAGGACAGCTGGGCTGAATCTTCACACTACCTCGATGGCAAGAGGCAGCATCACTCTCTACCTAGCTTTCCTGACTTGGGAAAGGACAGTGACCACAGGACACCTTGACTGGGGAGCAGTAGAAAATGAATGGGACAGATATATAGAGCTCAGCCTGATGCCTGCATGCAACAGGTGCTCAGGGACTAGAGCTACAACAGCTACTGTCACCACCACCAGGAAGCAAGGCCCTAGGGATAAAAGCCACAGCCACTGCCAGCCTTTGGCTGGAGATGCACACTGAGGCAGACACTACACTTGGGCTCTGAATAAGCGACGACTGTCTCTGCTCCCCAGGCTCCTCTTCCCACCTACCCTTACAGGGTTTGGGGAGGCACCTGCACCCTCCTCCCAAACGCTTACCACTTGGCCAGCAGGACAATTGGGTGTGTGGCGCCAAGCACCAGGCCCATGATGGAGTAGCCATAGTTGTGCCAGTCGATGACCAGTTTGCTCCCACACAGGCAGCCCACTAGCCAGCAGACGGAAATGCTCGGCAGGCCTGGGGGATTCTAGGGAAAAGAAAGGCTTGCTGCAGAAAGAGGAAACCCAGACTATGGTGCCCAGAAACCCTAGTGAGAACATCTGCCACACACATGGCAAAAAGACAAGTATCTTTATAGAGCTCTTAATAAAAGTTCAATACTCAAGATGTCAGTAATGTAGGAGACAAAAAAATGGAACAGGCTGCACATTGTGAAGCACGCCTGTACTCCTAGCACTCAGGAGGCTGAGACAGGAGGATGGCTATGAGTTTGAGGCCAGCCTAGGCTATGAGTGATTTCAAAGCCAACCACAACTACTAATGAGCCCTGACTCAAAAAAGAAAAAAATATGCTCTTTTGCATTATTAAAACATAAACTTTAAAACCCCAACATCGACGGGCAGTGGTAAACATGGCAAAGAGGTGGCATCCTCATCAGTGGGGACTGAAAGGGCCCAACTCTACTCTAGGCTAGCCAGTCTCCTACCACAACGTTTTAAAAGTGCACAAACTGTGACCAAGCAGTTCTACAGCCAGCAGTTGATCTCAAGGAAAAAGCTGAGCCTGTGACACAAATGTATGTCCATGATACTGTTAGCTGCACCAGATGTAAAGGTTAAAAAAAAAAAAAAAAGGAAGATCTGGGGAGAAAAATAAGAGTGCTGGCCTAGTATACATGAGGTACCAGCACCACACACACACACAAAAAAAAAAAAAAAAAAAAAAAAAAAAAATCAGCAAACTTTTGATTATCTGTCAAGATGACAGATAAGATCCATTACGTGTTGGGACTCAAGTGTACCCCCACTAAAATGTGCTTCTAGATGTTAAAAACTGGTGAAGAAGAAAAGCATAGCTCTAGAACCAGACTGACTGCCTATATTCAAACCCTGCCTCCACCACTTCTTAGCTGTGTGATGATGTTCTAGTTATAAAACCTCTTTAGGTCTAGATTTTGCCACCTCTAAAGCCTAAGTATTCTAAGAATCTACTCTTGGAGTTCTTGAAAGGACTGATAAGGTAAACATGCACACCACTTAGACAAATAGTGTAATGTAAGAAGACATCTGTAATGACATAGAAAAAGCACTATGAATGCAGACCAGAAATAGTATGAACATAAACCACATGTTCTACTCATACATTCCTACCCATGATGTAAAAGTTTATACACATGTGTTAATATGCAATTTATTTAGCAATTTGTGCATATTTTTATGTGTGATACTGGGAATCAACCCAGCACCTCATGAATGCTAAGCAGGTGGTCTACCAGAGCTATACCACCCAAGCCAATCTGCACATTTATAAAAAGCTGGAAAGTAAAGAAACAAACTGGTTCTCAGAAATGAAAGCAGGGGCTGACACGTACCTGGAGAAAGATGTAGGCTGCTGGCGCCTGCCACATCAGCTTCCACAGCAAGTACACTGCTTGAAACACAACTTTGACCCCATACCGGAGAACCCGGGGCCCAACTGCAAGTCAGAAAACACCTATCACCACAGAGCAGCTCCTGAAGATTCCAGGGTTTTCCTACAACCAACCCAACTGAGTCAGAGATCTGGAACTGACTTCATCCTACCTGCAAGACCCTGAAGTTCTGTCAACTTCACAATCTGAATTCTGTCACTCTCCAAGAGCTTGTTATGGGGTTTGGAGTCTGTAAATGAGAATGTTCCCTTTAATGTACTAGACGGAGCAATCTGAAGTCAGCTAATTCTATAATTCTAGGTCAAGTAGTGGAGTGATTTTTGAAAAGGAGACTTCAAAAACCTCCATTCAGCAGTAGTCAGAGGCTAATTTTTTCTCCAGATTCTACAAGAATACCCATAGAGGGAAGTCCAAATCTTAGCCAGCTGTATTCAAACCAGACCTGGTATACAGCAGGGACCCAAGCTGATCCGGTCTCTAGAACGATGGAATTTTCCCACAACAGGGGCATGCCTAGGATGTCCCACTCCAACATCACCCTGGGATAGCAGGCACAGGGACCAAAGGATGCGGTTCCCACTGCTCCCAGGTGGACCTGAATTGCTCTCTAAACCCTCAACGCAGAACGAAGTAAAAGAGCAGACCCTCCTGCCGCTCTGCGGATAAAAAGCTGGCCCAGGGAGCAAGTGAAACACCCCTAGCCTGCACTGAGGAATGAGGACTGGACGAAGATACGCTGCCTGTCGGCTCGGACACGGCCTGACAAGGGTAGCTGCAGACGAATGCGGTTACCAGAGTCTTCCCGACCCAGTCTTGTCACCTCCTAGAATGAAGTAAAACCCTGCAACGGTGTCACTTAGCACAATTCTGACAAATGGCAAAGGCGGGATTATCACCAGCCGTCCAGCGCAGCACCCGGCCCCTCCAACCTGGGAGAACAGCCCCAGGGGAGTAAGACAAAAGGGCGGCTCCGCCTCGGCCTCCTGGAGCAGTCAAGGCCCTGGGTCAGCACTCGCAGAGGCCTCCCTCCCAGACCCTGGGGGACTCACTGCAGAACCCCAGGAGAGTCACGGAGAAGCCACACTTAGCCAACGACAGGGCGTGATACTGCATACGGGGGCTGCGGCCCACGTCGCCCAACACCAAAACCACCACGTGTCGGGCCGCGCGCCCACGTCGCCAGCGCTTCCATCCGCCCAGCAGCAGTAGCGGTAGAAACAGAAACAGCAAGAGCAGAGCTACGCAGGACGCCGCCATCTTTGCCAGCCCGGTCTGTCACGTGACCCTGTACGTAGCCCGGCGCGTTGTGCGTAGCGTCTGTGGGGAAGAAGGGGGCGGGGCGGGGAGGGGAGGGGCGGGGAGAGGAGGGGAGGGGCGGGGAGGGGCGGGGCCGGGACAGAACCCGCCGGGATTTAGGCTCTAAGCGATTAGGGTAGTTGCCTGCACACTCCTTGGGAGCCGAAAGTTAATTTCATATACAGGCTAGCGAGATTCTAGTATCAAAATAAAACTGTTTCTTTATTAGGATCTAGGAACTTCTTTCAGAGTGTAACATAATTACAAAATACAGTGAGACAAGAATTTTGATGAGTCTCAGCTAGGTGTGGTGGTTCACCTTGGTAATCCCAACTTTCTAGGAGGCCAACTACTTTAGGAAGATCCAAGTTCTAGCACAACCTGAGCAATTTAGGGAGATTGTCTCTGATTTTTCTGTTTTGTTTGTGCTTTTTAGCTGTTTTTAAAGGACTGAAGATAGCACCCAATGTGAACACCTTGGTTTCAAACCCCAGTATTGCTTCTTGTTGTTGCAAATCGGCTAATGGCAATGTTGAGAAAGGAAACCAAACATGGAAAAGCACAAACTGCAGAGTTCGTTTACACAAATGAAAGCTAATCTTAGGGCCGGCCAAATCAGTGTATTAAAGCGCCTGCAAGCAGGTGCAGGGGCCGGGAGTTCAATCCCGGGCCTGCAGTGCCGGCCCCGCCCCCGGGACGCGCTAAGAGGGCAATTGAGACTGAGCGTGGTGGCACGCACCTGTAACCCCAGCTCTTGAGAGGCTGTAAACAGGCGGATCACTACAAATCCTATCTAGATCTAGTAGTGAGACCCTAAACACCCTGTAGACTCTTCCCTAAAATACAGGAAAAAAGAAAAGAAAAGAGAAAGAAAAAAGAAAGCTAAACTTGCTTTTAGAAGTTAGGAAAGGGCCATGAAGGCTGGGCAGGACTGGTCATGTTCCGCTGAACATGGATATGTTCCATATGGGAAATTCACCCAGTAGCAGGGAAGAGAAAGGAAACCTGGGGGGCCAGAAGACCCAGGCAGTAAGTGCAAATCTGGCTAGCTGCTGTAGGGATTCCAGTGTTACCTCCCACAATGATTAGGTTAAAAAAGGGAGGGGGCGGGGAGATGGCTCAGTGAAATAAGTGCTTCCTTGGCAAGCGCAACAGCCTGAGTTCAATCCCCGGTTGGGGGGGGGGGGGACGACAGCCACCGGAGACAACCCTATACCAGTGTGAACAAAACACACCTCAGTTTAGATGGTTACCACAGTTTGGGATGAATGGACTGAGGGCTTCTGAAGCAGGGAGGGCCCCTCACAAACCCACAGGCCCTAAACTCTGGGTGGACAAAATTGTAATTTGCTGGATTCCAAGACTGCAAATCCTGGAAAGACACCACTCACTTAAAAACAGACAAGTTTATTTAGTTTTTTTTCTTTTTAATTTCTCTCTTTCCTTCATTGGCTTTTTGGAGGGTTGAGGTTTTTCCTCCCTTTCATATTGTTTTTTTCTTTTTCTTTCTTTTTTCTTCTATTCATTCTTCTTTATTTGGCTGGGGTTTTTTTTCTTTTCCTTCTTCATTCTTTGAAAGTTTTCTACTATTGTCAGTTTCTTTGTAAACCTCAATAGGATCACTTCTCTCATTTTTCTCTCATCTTTCATTGATAAATTTTTCAAACTTTAATTTTCTCATTTTTTGGTTCCCCACCCCCCATTCTTTACTAGTATAACTAGAATTAGGTTTTATGACTCTTTAGATAGCTAGTTAACTCTAGGCTATTACTGTTGATCACTGTTCTATTGTTAGTGAAGTTAAAATTGTTCCATTTAGTAGATATTTACTGTAAGTCACTATTTGTTTTGACTTAGTGATTATACTATAAACATAGATCACTTTTTTTTTATTTGCGATACTGGGGATTGAACTCAAGACCTTGTGCTTGCCAGGCAGGTGCTTATGCCACTGAGCTGTCTCCCCAGCCATAGATCATTTTTTGATGGGTAAGGATGAAACGTTATTGGTTCATAGATGTTATGGCTTCTACCAAGATGTCCCCCCAAAGCCTCCTGTGGTCATAGATGGAGATTTTTGGAGGTTGCTAGACCTAGAGTGTGTGATGCTACGATTAAGGATGTGATTCTGCTGTTGATTCACAGCATAATGCTAGGATTAAAGGGTCCTTATTCTGGGTGTGAGTGCTACCTACCCTAAGGGAAGGCAGTATGAATACAATATAAGGGACAGAAAGAGAGCTACAATTGTAGCTTGCTGCTTGCTGCCTTTGCTGCCTTCTTCTTGCCATGAGCTGTTTCTCCTCTGTGATGCCCCTGCCTTGCCACCCTGCCTTGAAGCTAGCCAACTAGCTGAAACCTCTGCAAACTGTGAGTTGAAATAAGCCTTTCCTCCTTTATGTTTGGGTGTCAGGTATTTGTCTCAGTGATGAGAAAAGTAAGTAAGACAGTAGGATAGGTCAATATCCACTTTGTCTTTGACACTGTTGCTGATTTTATTATTGTAGCCAAGGTGATATAGTTATTGCTATTAATTGGTTTTCTCTCTATGCTAATATCTGCATTGCCTTTGTGTCATTAACAATGTTGTGGCATATTCCAGGAGAAGTGAATACTGAGTCAAATACACTGCAGCCTCCCCTCCCAAATAAATGAAGGTGGTTGGATCCTGGGACAGAGGCAAAAGCCCATTGTTAGAAGAGCAGACATTAACTACAGAGATCTCATTACTAGCAACAAACCGTTACACGATAATCAACCTGCAAGTACCAGAAAAAAAAAAAATCAAACAAAAACTAGGAACACAAGAAGACAAGGCAACAAAAGCAACAAAATACCTCCAAGACCTCTCAACTCCCCGAAAAGCTGATCCATGAGGCATCAACAGGGACAAAATCAAAAGCCTTACAGCTGAGTTATTTAAAAGGATGACAGAAGATCATAAAAACACAAATCAATGAGTCACTTGGTGAGCTCAGAGAAGATATAACAAAATAAATAACAGAACTACTAGACACAAGGATCAATGACTGTGCAGAGGATACTAATAAAAAGTTAGCTAATTTAAGCAAGATGATACAAAACATGAATTTTCAGCACAGAAATGAATTAAAGTACATAGAAAGGTACCAAATGAAAAAAAATCAGGAAATTGGAAATCCTAATCAAAGTATGAGGAGTAGTGACTAGTGTTAGAAGTGTCAGAACTAGAAGGACAGAGTTAGAAGACAGGGCTGCTTTCAGTGACCAATTAATGATAGATACCTTAAAAACAAGAGAATGTAAAAAAGTACATCTAGCATCTACTAGATGATGTGAAGAAGACTAAGATTACAGCAGCTTATGAATGAATATTCCATTCCAGGAGAAAATTCAAAAGTCAGATTCATTCATAAATCTGACAAAGCCTTATACACTTTGACACAAATATAATATGGTAATTAGATTTAGTGAAAAATCACAAGACAGAACAAATGGCATCTAAAAACCTGTTTGCTGCAATAATGGCAGAAAACTTCCTAAATACGGGGAAAGAACTTAACATACATATAACTGAAGCGTATAGAATCCTAAAGAGCCATGATCAGAAAAGAACCTCTTCCTGGAACATCTTAGTCAAATCCTAGAAGTCCAACCCAGGAAAACAAGCTTGCTAAAAACTGTCAACAAATTGCTTATACAGTTAAGTTGATGAGAGTGACCGCAACTTCTCAACACCAAACTTAAAGACCAGAGGCCTTAAAGTGAAGCATTTTGAGCCATAAAAGAAAACAATTCCAACCTAGACTGAGATAGCCTGCAAAATTAACTTCTAAAATTGATGAAGAAGTAAGAGGTTTTGTGATAAAGGGCTCCTGAAGAAATTCATGATCACCAAACCAGCACCCAAAAAATTTTCGTAGATATCTTAGAAAGAGAAAAGAGGCTGGCAATGACAAAATTGTTGTCAATTCTCTAATAGAATGAACATACCAAGTCAAGCAAGAAATTAAGTGAAAGGGAAAGAGAACCAGCAAAAGGAGAAAAATCAAGATTTTTAGCAACTACTTCACAAAACTATGTGCCAATAAACTGGAGAATTCAGAAGAAATGGGTAATTCTAGATACATATGAATTACCAAAACAGAATTTTTAAAAACCTTGAATAATCCAATAATAGGCAATAAAATTGAAGTAGTAATTTTTAATGAAACTTTTCTTAATCAAAATTAAGAAAATCCCAGCTCAAACTGAACTCCATGATGAATTCTGCAAGAACTTGAGGGAAGATGTGGCACCAATACTCCTCAAGATCTTTACTGAAATTGAAGGAGAAGGAATGCTCCCGAAGTCATTCTTGAAGCTGGCATTACCCTGATTCCAAGTCCAGACAAAAATCCAACCAAAGAAAAGAAATATAAGTGAATAACTTTAATGAACATAGATCAAAAAATCCTCAGTAAAATATGGCAAAAGTAAAACAGCAAATCATTTAAAAGATTATATATCATGACCAAGTAAGCTGCACTCCAGGGATGTGAGGATGGTTCAATGTAAGAAATCAATAAATGTAGTGCATCACATAGACAGAATTAAGGACAAAAATCTCAATAGATACACAAAAAGTAATTAACAAAGTCCAACATACATTGATGATTTTTTTAAACCTGAAGCAAATAGGTAAAGGCCTTATCTCAATCCAATAAAAGCCATTTGTGACAAATTTGCCAACATCACATTAAATGAGAAGAAGCAAAGTTTTCCCTCTAAAATTAGAAACAAGGCAAGGAGGTCCATTCCTGTTCAAAATGGTACTTACAACAGCTAGAGCAACCAGGCAAGAACACTAAATAAAAGGAATACATGTAAGAAAGGAAGAAGTCAAATTATTATTATCTGAAAATGATATGATCCTCTACACAGAAGGCCCAAAGAGTTAATCAAAAGACTCCTACAATTAATAACCAAATTCAGAAATGTAGCAGAATACGCATCAACAAACAAAAAACCAAAATAGCATCCTTGTATATCAATAATAAACTCACCAAGAGAGAAATTAGAGAATAATACATTTGACATAGCATCAAGAAAAATGAAATACATTAGAAGTAATCTAACCAAGGAAGTGAAGGACTTCTATAGTACTCTGAGAAAGATCAAACAGGACAACAGAAAGTGAAACAGCCCCTGCTCCTGAATAGGCAGAACCAATAATGTCAAAATGACCATGCTCCCAAAACTGATGCAGAGATTTCATGCAATCCCAATCAAAATACCAATAAAATTCCTCATAGAACTAGAGAAAATAATCCTAAAATTCATATAGAACCAGAAGAGGCCCAAATTAGCAAAACAATCCTGGGTAATAAGAGCAAAGCAGGAGGTATTACAAGCCCAGACTTCAAGCTACATGACAAAGCTATAGTGACAAAAACAGCATGATACTGGCACAAACACAGACATGTGGATCAATGGAACAGAAGAGGATGCAGAAACAACCCCAAGAGCATCCAGCTACATGACCTTTGAAAAAGGCACCAAAAACATACTGGAGGTAAAACAGCCTCTTTAATAAATGGTGTTGGGAAAACTGCCTACTTCTATGCAGAAGATTAAATCTAGATCTATATCCCTCACCATGACTACACTGAAATAAAAATGGACCAAAGATCTACATGTTAAAACAGAAACATTGAACCCACTTGCATCAATCAGTATTTACTAGAGAAACATTTAATGCAAGATATAGAAATATTTTTAAAATGTACAAGATTGGCCAACAATGGACCCCCACCGAGTCGGGTGTGGAAATGTGCAAAAGGTCTGTCTGCGCCCTGGAGACCCAAAGGATCCAGTCAAAGGCCTGGAGCTAATGTAATGTCCCAGTTGAGTCCGTATCAGAAGGCAGAAGAGTCTACAATGGAAGGCTGAAGGGTCCAGCCAAAAGGCTAAACTGGAAGGCTAAACTGAAGTCCACACTGGAAACCAAGAGATGACGTCCAGGATGATGCTGCAGACTGAAGCACCTCTGAAGAAATAGAAGCAAGCCTTCCTTCTTTGTCCCTCACCATGGGAAAAAGAATAATGTAATGTGAAAAATTAGTCATCTTTCTATTGATTACATATTGGATGGTATTATGTATACTGAGGTAAACAAGATCATTTCACCTGCTTGTGGGGTGTGTGTGTGTGTGTGTGTGTGTGTGTGTGTGTGGTATTGGGGCCCTGTACCACTGGGCTATACTTCCAGCTCTTTCTTTTTCTTTTGTATCTCTTTCTTTTTTTTTTTTTTTTTCTCAGTACTGAGGATCAAACATGAGACCTTGCACTTGCAAGGCAGGCACATACCGCTGAGCTATCTCCCTGGCCCAATGTTCTTTTATTTTGAGACAGTATATCACTAAGTTGCCCAGGGCAGACTCAAATGTGTGACCCTCCTGCTTCAGCCTTTCTCACTACTGGGATTACAAACGTTGCTTTTTTTTTTTTTTTTTTTTTTTTTTGTATTTTAGGGAAGGGTCTACAGAGTGTTCAGGATCTCACTGCTAGATTGGACTCTAGTGATCCGCCTGTTTACAGCCTCCCAAGGATTACAGGTGCACACCACCACACCCAGTCTCAGTTGTCATCTCAGTCCCCCCCCCCGGGGGGCGGGGCCCACATGGAACTCCTGGCCTCTGCAGGCACTTTAATCCACTGAGCTATTTGGCCAGCCCATTGTTGCTTTTTTGATATATGGCTAATAGAAAATTTTGAGGGGCTGGTGAGATGGCTCAGTGGTCTAAAGCACCTACTTAGAACAAGCTTAGCAAAGCACAGGGACTGCGGTTCAATCCCCCAGCACCACATGCCAGCCAGCCCCGCCCCCTGGTGGGCTGAGCTGGCCCCCCCACACACAAATAAATAAAATTAAAAAAAAAAATCTTAAAAAAAAAAAAAAGAAAAGAAAATTTTGAAAGGCCCAAACAGCTCACTTGTGTGGTTTAATTCTATTTCTACTGAATAGTGGCCCTCTGGAGAGGCTGGAGAGATGTGGCCACCAATGAGTTTGGCACCAGCTTCTTTTCCAACTTTGCTTTGGAGGGCTTTTGGATTTCTAAGTTGCAGGTGACATTTTCAGATCACTGATGGAGAACCTGAGACCAGAAGGACAGGGAGAGTTCCTCTCCCCACTGGGTAGACAGTAGGCTCCGTGTCCAGGACTGGCCTGATTCTGACCACCCCCGAGCCTTCTGTCCCCAGGAGCCAACCTACCCAAAGCTCTCTTCCCAGGCCAGGCAGGCTACGGGTGAGCGCTTCCAGGCTTGCAAGGAAGGGGATGGGCAGAGGGCGGGTCGAGACTCTTGGCAGAGAGCTCCCAGCGCTGCAGGATGTGATCAGAATGACCAGAAAGCCAGTCATGGCCAGGCCAGGGCTGGCGCTCTTTCTCCTACTGCTGTCATCGCTGTCACTGAAGCCCTCCTCACTCCCACAGCTGGATGGCACAGAGGGCAAGGCCACCCTTGCAGGCCTAATTCTGTCTACACTAGAGAGAGCCACCATGTTCCTGGAGGAGCGGCTGCCTGAAATCAACCTGGATGGTGTGGTGGGTTTTCAGGTGCTGGAAGGTGAGTTTGCCTGCCGCCCAGATGGCCAGTGGGAAAACCAGTTCTGGGCATGCCCCCTGCCCCACTCTGACCCCTGGGACCTAGCAATCTGGCTTCAGAACAGGCTGCTTTGGCTCTGAGGAGAGGGAGGAGGGGGCTACATTCTCTGAGGTGTAGGACTCAGCCAGCTGTTATCAGATGTCTTAGAAGTAGGAAGGATTTAAAGGCAACATGAGAAAAGATTTGAAAATTATATTCTTAGAAGAAAATGATCTATTTGGCAGTTGCCATCTGACACACCGTGAACAAGGGGCAAGAGGGAGCCCTTTTAGTGGTATTTATGGAAAGGCTGCTCCTCCTATGTAAGGATAGTTGGGAATAAAACCAAAGCCCTGAGTTCCTTCCTGGCTTCCTTCATGGCCTGCCAAAGGCAACTGGAGGTCCTGAGAACAGAGCGCAGTATTTGTTTAGCCTTGACAGATGTAAGATCCTTAAAGAGTGGGTTGGAGACAGGCCAAGGCAGGCTGGAGACATGCACACCTGTTGAAGGAGGCGCTTCCTGCAGGTCACCCTCAACAAAGCGACAGAGGCCCCCCTTTTTTGGGGGGTAGGGGGTACTGGGGGATAAACTAGAGACTTTACACTGAACTACATCCCACACCCTTTTTATTTTTTGAGACAAGTTCTCTCCAAGGTAGTCACTTGCCCAGGCTGGGCTCAAACTTGTGATCCTCCTGACTCAGCCACCCAGAGTGCTAGAACTGCAGGTATGCATCATGTCCTGCTCAGAAACCCTATTTTGGTGTCAGCCTGGGCTTGGGCAGTGGGTATCTCTGTCTTACTCCTTGCAGCCACAAGACCACCCCACATCCTTTCTGCATCTCTGCTCTCTAGGTAACATTCTAGAAAGCACCGAGATCCTACCCCACCCTCTAGGCCTGCTCTGCTCTAAGCCAGGACTACCGGGAGGCCAGAAGCACACCAGGGTGCCCTCGCATCACTCAGCTCTGCCTCAAACTCCTCTAGAAATGATTAACAATCACAATCCCCCAGAGCCAACTTTCTGACTGGGGATAGCAGACACCAAATCACAGGCCCGCAGTACTTTCAGGGATCTGTACAAATGCTTTCGGTTGTGGATGAGTGGGCACCGGCCCCAAGAGCAAAGGGCCCTCCCCACCCCCTAGGACAACAGGCACAGACCCCAAGTCTGCAGTTCATACTAAGGGCCACACCTCATCAACGGCTTGCTTTGTGAGATGGGTAATGTTAAATCTTCACATATTAGCTCATGTAATCCTTAGGAAGCCAGATCAGAGAAGTGCTGACTCGCTGTCCTCATTTTGCAGACAAAAACAGAAATGGAGAAAAATTAGGTGACTTTTTCTGGTCACCCAACCAAAAACTATCAGTTAGGAATGTCCCCAGTCCACCTACAGTTATCAAGCTCTCAGCTCCCACCTTGTACCTCCCTGACCCCTCCCCTTTGCCAGATCAGCCCACAAGGCCTGGCTTCCAGTCAGCTCAAAGAATCCTCCCAGGCCCTATGCAGGGAAGGCAGAAAAGCCCGTGGCTAGACAGCTGGTGATTGATGACCTCTGCTCCCCAGCACAGCTCCGAGGTGCACAGGAGGCGTGGGCATCGGACCCCGTGCTGCAGCCATTGTGTCTGCGAACTGGGCAACTGGCTGACAAGCTGGCCCCTCTCCTCCACAGATCCATCACCTACCTGAATCTCAGCGATCCTGAGTACCTAAGAGGTAACCGTGTGGGAAGGGTATTGCTTCAGGAAGGCAGCTCCTGGGGTATCACTGAAGACCCTGGTATAGGCTCCTCTTAGAGTAAGGCAGAGTGGAATGGTCCACAACTGTCAGCTCAGCAAGGTACCCTCTGGAAGGCTGGTCATCCTTGACTCCAATAGCAATGACCTGTCTTGCCCACGTGGAAGGACAAACAGGATATCTCCCACCACCCATTGCTAGGGGGTCTTCCTGGACCACAGGGTCAGGTCTGGTCTGGCCTTTCCTGAGGATGGCATATCTAAAAGGCAAGTCACCTCCTCGCATGGCAGACCTTAGTATCATGCCAGCAAGTATCTCCTGTGCCTTGTAGTGCTGAGTGTCGGTGTCCACACCAGCCTTGAGGGACCTTGAGGAAGATCCTATTCTATAATCCTGGCCTGAATTGGTACATAGGGAACAGCACACCTCACAATGCTCCAGCCCTGTTCCTGGGGTTCATAAAAAACATGAGCTACTGCATACCTCATTCTCAGACTGCGGCCCCACCTCTGTGACCCACTCTGTCCTTCCTCCTTGAAGCAGAGATCCCCATCCTCACCTGACCCTTATACACCTCCAGAAATGCATACTATCCCCATCCTACAGACAAAAGAATGGAACTGGTAGATAAGAAGCCTCTTGCCAAGCATATATATTGGGAGTGCTGCACTATAAAACAGAACCCAAAAGGTTTTTGGTTCCTTTCATGAATCTCAAGCGTCTGTAGGTTACAACAGTTATAGTCACATCCTGTCCCAATACTGTCCCTAACTGACCAGGGAAAAACTGTTCTGGATTTTTGTTTGTTTTTGTTTTGCTTTGTTTGATTTTTTGTTTTAAGAAAAAGAATTTCTGGAATGTTTCAGTTCCCACCACCAGCAGCCAAGAAGTTGGGCTGGAACCTGGGCAGGGCAGCCAGCGCAAGGTGCAGTGGGTGGGGACAGTTTCCTGGCTAGGGTAAGGGGACTTTCCCAGCTCCAGGTCATTCCTCAGACTTTACCCACACCACCTGCTTTCCCCTCTGCCAGAGTTCCAGCCAAGCCTCCAGCCTGGGTTTTGGAAGCTGCCCCACACCTGGACCCACACCAGTGCCTCCCTAGTCTATCCCTGGCCTGAGCTCCAATACTCTTTCTCAGAGGACAGCAGTGACGCATGCTTGGTGCTGCTGTTGGGAACAGGGTAAGCCCCAATTTCCTGACTTACTAGAAGCCCAAATTGTTTTCTCCACTGGCCTCCTGCCCTGCTAGAACTCCAAGCCCCCAGGACAGCCTACAGGGGTCTGTGCAGAAGCAGGCACAGCTTCCAGGAAGGTGCCTGGCCATCCTCTCCCACCCCGTTCTAGCCTGTCCAAACTCCCTAGGTCAAGCTACCTCAGCTTTTCCTGGTCCCAGGACAGAGCCCAGCTCCTGCAGCCCTTCCAGGCCCTGGAACAACTCTGATCCAACCCCTGGGGACTCTATGCCCACTATCCTCACCCCCAACAAACCCTTGCTCCTTCCACCTTGCCACCGCATCCCCATTCATCCCTAAAACTGTGGCAATTCACTGCCCTGGGCCAGCTCCAGCATGCTGCCCCCGGAATTGACCCCTAAACAAGGTGGCTTCTCATCTGTCATACAGCTGTCATATAGGTATGACAGCTGTCACACACTTCTGCCCCCCAACAGGCTGTGGGTCCAGGAAAGCAGGACTGAGCCCAGCTTATTCCCCACTCCATTCCACAGCTAAGTGGGCTTGAACAAGGCCAGGTGGGCCCATGCAGGGCCCAGGGAGGACTGGGCAGCAGGTCCTGCCCTCTCCACCCTTCGGAGAGGATTCTGTCAGTGTCTTCTTGAGAAGCAGTTATTAATTCTTTCATTGCAGTTAGCCCTTCTTTTTTTACTTCAGAGAATATTTCTGATCTGATGTCCTCTATATTCAGAGAGGATTCTGAAGCAGACCACAACTGAGCCCCCAAGGGGCTGCGCTCCAGTGAGAGATTCCCTTGCTGATCTGTCTGTCTTTCTTTCTTTCTTTTTTTTTTTTTTTTTTTTTTTTTTTGTACCAGGAATCAAACTTATGAACTCTTTTTTGCTGGGGAGAGATTTGTCACAGGGGGAATGAGCATGTGGGGTACAGATTCCCAAGCTTTCTGGGTTCAGAAGTCTGCTGTTTAGGGCTGAGGTAGGAAAGGTAACATTTGGGAGTCTTGACCTCTGGCAGCTTCCCACACACAGGATGGCTCCACCATCATCTGTCCAGAACTGGGGCTACTGATTTAGCAAGTCAGTTCACAGGAAATCTGTTTTGTTTCGTTTCGTTTTGTTTTGTTTTGTTTTGTTTTGTTTTGTTTTGTTTTGTTTTGTTTTGCAATATTGGGGATTGAACGCAGGGCCTTTTCACTGAGCCACTGCTCTCATCCTTTCTACTTTTTTTGTTTTGAGTTGGCGTCTCAATAAGTCACTGAGTTACACAGGCTGGTCCCGAGCATACATTTGCTTGTTTGTTTGCTCTTTTTGAGACTGAGTCTCACTATGTAGCTCACACTGGCCTTGTACTATGTAGTGTAGGCTGGCTTCCAACTCACAGTGATCCTCCTCTCTCGAACTGCTATATGCTGGGATTGCAAGTGTGCATCTCAGGCCAAGCTGAGCTCAAACTTTTGATCCTCTTGCCTCAGCCTCCCAGAGAGAATTTCTATGCTTTCTTTGGCAGCACCTGTCCCAGCCAGGAAGTTACAGGAGAGGGGTGGACAGAAAGGATGGGGAGGCTGGGCCTGGAGCACCATGCTCAACACCTGGCCTGGCTTCTGCAGGAACACCAGCAGCCAGCCTTGTGGGCTCTCAGACTTCTGCAGGAAGTTCATGACCAAGCCTGGCTGCTCTGGCTATTACCTGTCCCACCAGATGCTTTTCTTCCTCTGGGCCAGAATGGTGAGTGCAGGTAGGAAGGACGGGGGAAGATAAAAGGGCTCCTGGAAGCGTAGTTCTGTCTGCTGCACACCAGAAATCAAGCGGTCTTTTGTATTTGTTTGTTGTCGATGTTGTTTTTCATTTCATTTTATTTTATTGTGAAGAGTAAAAACAAGCAAAAACAAATAGAAAAAAGACAGAAACAGGATACCATACAACAATACATATGTTAGAGATTTTCAAAACAAGACTAGCTAATTAGCAATAGCTGTTATATTATCTATTTTTACTGTCAGATCTATTTGCTCAAGTTAACAGATATAGTTAGGCAACATTAGAGAAATAACTGAATATGGGCGCTTGCTTTCAAGAAATCTTAATTTTTTTCCTTGTCTTTTTTATTTTCAAGAGAATATAATAATTGATAATTAGAAAAGGTACACATTTAGAACAAGATGAGAGGTATTCAACCATGGTTTTGTTTTGTTTTGTTTTTTGTGGTACCAGGGATTGAACTCAGGACCTTGTGCTTGCCAGGCAGGAGCTTATGTCGCTGAGCTCTCTCTCCAACCCTCAACCATGAGTTTTATATTACACATTGCTGTCCATGATGTAGGTGCTTAGATCTCAGGTATCAGCATACAGTTAGTCAAGGTGAAAATTCTAAACATTAACTATTTTCCCCAAAAATAATGATGGAAATTATGAGTACAATCACCTCAGCCATCATATATATATATATATATATATATATATATATATATATATATATAATTTGCATGTTTTTCCCATCTTTTCTCCATTCACCTTCAGCCATCAAGAGGGAAGAGTGAGAAAATTCTGTGTAACTGAGCTGATTCAATTGCAAATGGGGGAGGTGGGGTTAGGGACACTGTTGTATTCACTGGGTGATAGGACATCAGGAAAATGGTAAGGAAGAGAGAGGGAATAAGACAGAGGAGGCAGGAAGAAGAACTCAGCAAAACACAGAGGAGCATAGAGGCACTTGGAAGAAAGTTAGCGGTGCCACCTGTAGGAGACCAAGCCATACCCATAGTGATAGTAGCCATGGAGACAGCTGGGACAAAGGGACTTGGGAGAAGCAGCAGCCTGGGTGTCCTTGCTGTTGGTGGAGTGACAACTTCCATGGTAAAATGACACAAAGTAACAATTTGAGGGGCTGGTGAGATGGCTCAGTGGTCTAAAGCACCTACTTAGAACAAGCTTAACAAAGCACAGGGACCACGGTTCAATCCCCCAGCACCACATGCCAGCCATCTTCGCCCCCTGGTGGGCTGAGCTGGCCACACACACACACACACACACACACACACACACACATAAATAAATAAAAAATTCAAAAAAAAAAAAAAAGTAACAATTTGAAATATGGAAGACACTAAACTTTACATTCACTTATTTGTTTTAGCCTCATTTTACAAAAACAAATTGAACTTGTTAGACAAAAGGGGGATGGGTTTTAAAGTTGTGAGCCCCAAGGCTTCAGGAAGAAAAGCTGTGAGGTACCTGGCCCCTAGCTTTTCTAGTGTCTTAGACACCTGAGTACACAGTATCCCCATCCTGAGGAACCAGGACTGAGTGGCTATTGTTTCACATCAGATCTGAGCAATGGTCTGTCCTTGCAGGTCCAAGAACTGAAGCCAGGGAGTAGAGGTGGACCCAGCCCCACCCCACCCAACCCCACCCCACCCCACCGACCCCTCACCCAAGTGTCTTTCAAATTTCAAGATGATGATGATAAGAATGTTAAAGCTACATATTTTTATGGTGCTGGGGGAGTAGCTCAATGATAGTGTGTGCTTAGCATGCGGGAAAGCCTAGGTTTGATCCCCAGCACTGGAAAATAAGTACATAAAAAATATGAGGTGGGTTCTTGTAGCAGGATGGGAGGGACAAATAAATAAATTTGTTTGATCTCATGATCTGTATGCCAAAAATGTTATTCAGAGATCAGAAATTTTTGCTTGACAAGGTTTTTTAAGTTACTGATTATTTGCTGAGACAGACCAACATTTTAAAAAATATAATAAAAAATTAATTAAAAAAAAACATTGTCAACTGGGGGGCCTGCTGGTTAGCTCAGTTGCTTAAGTGCCTCCTCATGCAGATACAGTCAGATGCAGGATGCCAAGGTTCGATCCCCACCTCCACCTGCATTAGCAGACCCACCCTTATGGCAGCTTGAGCCAGCCAAAAAAACAAAAGCATTGTCAACTTTTGGAGGGCCAGGGAGATGGCTCAGTGGAATAAGCACTTCCCTGGCAAGCGCAAGGGTCTGAGTTCAATCCCCGGTTCCGCAAAAATAAAAAAATAAAAATAAATAAATAAATAAATCTCAACTTTTGGAAGCTGGGGAGATAGCTCAGTAGAATAAGCACTTGCCTGGCCAAGTGCAGGGTCCTGAGTTCAATCCCTATTTCCGCAAAAATAAATAAATAAAATATAAAAAACAAATTATGAACTAAGTTATGTTTTCAAGATGTAACTGAAATCTATGGTAAATGTCTAAATTTTTTTAATGTATTACAATATAAGACACTTCATCATTAATCCCCCTCAACAGACTGCCCTTCATTTCAAACACACTTACCCCATGACTCTGACCACTTTCTGAAGCAGTTCTGGAAGTCCTCTTTCATATCTTTAGTTGTGCTTTTGGGGCTTTCTCCTGGTACTGAAATGATTCAAAACACTGATCTTAGCTAGTCATTTTGACTTTGGAGAGGAGCCAGAAGTTGCACGGTAGCAGGCCTGCTGTGTAGGGTAGAAATGACGCATGCTGGCGTTTTGGGAAGCCTGCCTTTCTCGTGGCTGGCGCTCCACGGTGTGTTCCTCATACTTTAGATCACAATGTGGGAAGACACTCACAGAAAAGGGCTCCCAGGACCACCTGAGAAAGTATAAGGGCCATGAGATAAGTATGTCGGAAGCAAAGAGGGAGTATTTTGAGGGCAAGTCATGGCAAAGTCTTCTATTGTAATAAATGCTATTTGAAACATTTACCATACATTTTGATCACCTCACATATATTTATTTGTATCAAAAACTTGTGCTAAAATCCAATTTTTTTTTTTCGATACTAGAGATTGAACTCAGGACCTTGCACTTGCCAGGAAAGTGCTTATTCTACTGAGCCATCTCCCCAGACCCGAAAATATCCAAAAATTTTATTCAGAGCCTCAAAGCCCTTTGTTTGACGCGATTTTTAAAATTACTATTTCTTTGCATGCTACAACAGGCCAGTATTTTTGTAGACATATTAAAAACCAAATTGCACATGGATTATTATGTTGGCTGCATTCAACAAAACAAAGGTTACTTGGAGCATTGCTGCTAAATCCTGTTCTCAATGCCTGTTCTTTTCCATCATGGGCTAGTGCCTAGCCAGGTCTGCCCTTGGAGTAGCGCTGAAGCCAGAGCAGGGTTGGCCCACAGTGAGACTGCAAATGCTCTCACAGGTAGTTGCAGAGCTGGGCCCCGATTATGCCATGCCAGAACTTAAACCCAGCTCTTCCTGATCCCCAGTGATGGAGCCAGCTGGGAGTGTAAGTGGGAAAACCCTTGGGGAAGGAGGGACCTGCCCTGACACAGCCCATGCAAGACTATCTCAGTTTGAAGGTCTCTCTGGGATGCAGTGTGCATTTTCTTGCACACTGACTCCCTTGTCCCTGGCTGTTTGCCCCCCAGAAAGGATGCACGAAGGGACTGTTCAGCCAGAGCCAGCACTACATCAGCATCTTCTGTGCCAACATGATGGCCCTGAACCAGAAATCTGAGGCTGCTGGATATGCCTACCCCATCCGGGACCTCTTCATGGAAAACAGTACAGCTGGCCTTCTGACCTTGGGATAAAGCAAAAGGGTGTTGGTGATAGGACAAATGCACATGCATACAAGTGAAATTGCCACATTAAGAAATTAAAACTATAGGGTGCTTAGTTGAATCTGAGCTTCAGACAAGTAATGAATAAAATCTTAATATAAAAAATCTTAATATAAGTATGTTTCATACAATATATGTGCTTAGCATAGGATAAGCTCACACTAAAATTTTATTTGTTGCTTATCAGAAACTCATGTTACTGAGCATCCTATACTTATCTGCCACTGTGTGACTGTGTGCTCAAAGACTGATCCAGTGATGGACCTCTGGACAGGCTAACAAGAGGACAGGCAAACAGACCCACACTGCCTTAGAGATGAGGCAGAAAGAAAGCCCTGGGGGCTGCTCCTTGCCTGTAATGAGGGCCCCAGTGGGAGGCAGGACACAGCCTGGGAGCCCCACTTGATAAGATGGAGTCTCCTTCCAGCCCCAGGCAGGAGAAAACAGGTGGCACCATGATGGCCTCAGAAAGGGGAGGAGGTGGGCCTGGGAGGACGGGCTACAGACAGTCCCCTGGCTTTGCTTCCAGTCATGTTCTGTGGCATTGGTGGCTTCTCTGACTTCTACAAGCTCCGGTGGCTGGAGGCCATACTCAGCTGGCAGAAGCCACAGGAAGGATGCTTTGGAGTGCCTGGTAAGCTTCACTGCTGTGTTGGCTGAAGGAGGAGGGAGAATGCACTGGCATGAGGTGCTAGGAGAGATGTGCAATAATATGTACATAGGTGCGTGTGCCCCTGAATACACACATACACACACACACACACACACACACACACACACACAGTAGAAATGGGCTCGCAGCTTTTGGAGCCAACATTTTTTCAGAATGAGAGTTTCTTGTCAGGAAATGAGAGCCACTAAAATTGCACCAACAAATTCATTCATTCAACAAGCATTTATTCAGCACCTACTAAAGCCCGTCTATGCTGTGGGGAAAGTCAGGCCTGAGGAAAAGAGGCAGAAATCCAAAAAAAAAAAAAAAAAACCAGTAAGTGAAATGAGGACAAGAGCTGTGAAAGAGACAACAAGCAGAGGAGGAAAAGAACACTGAAGAAAGTTCCTCAGGTGCAGTGGTCAGAGAAGGCCTCTACAGGGAAGTGACACAGGTGGAGAGGTGCAAGACACACATCACCAGCCACAGGCCCCTTGCCAGTTGGTCAGCTCTGGTGTAAGTCACTTTACTCTCTGAGCTTTCAGTTTTCCCACGTATAACTAGATGACTATGATCAAAGCCACTGTCCCCAGTGTGGGGGAGAACAGACAGCACACATGACACTGCCCAGCCCAGGCCAGGTAGGTGTGAGTGAGGCAGGCTCCCTGAAAATAAATTTTGGGGTCCTCAGTGGGACAGTTCAATCCTCAAAGAAGCAAATGCAGTTGTTTCGAAAACAGTTTATGGAATGAAAATTCTCAGGCCTGCCAGACTTTGCGAGAGGGCATTGGAGAGGGCAGGGACTTGTATCCTCCCACCCCGCTCCAGCACCTGCAGTATGGGTGGCTTGTGAACACGATCTGGGAAGCCATGGGTACCATGAGTAGATGACAAATTTAAGCCTCGTGGAAAGATCCCCAGGCAGATGTGGGGAGAAAATTTGTAGAGTAGCCTCAGCATTTCAGAGAAGACTTCCATTGCTTGTGGCTCTGGAGGGGAACAGATTTATCAAGCACCATTCACAGATCATGAGTTCATCTTTTGCTCTTCTCCAGATACTGAGGGTAAAGTGCAACCTGCACACTTTCTGTACCAACAGCATGTTCTCAGAAGAGTCAAGAGGCGAGAGAAACAATTCACAGGTAACAAAAATGCTCAGGGGAACTGGGTCTGTAATCCCAGCACTCTGGAAGGCTGAGGCAGGAGCATTGTGAGCTCCAGCTCAACCTGAATGACTTAGAGAGACTGTGTCAAAATAAAAGGGGCTGGGGTATAGCTGAGTGCAAAGGCCCTAGGTTCAATCCCCAGTACCACAAAAGGTTTGGGGAGGGCTTTTGGCTTGAGCCCAAAACATCTTCAGAAGCCAAGGCCTGGACCTGTTCCTTCTCTTCTGATACAGATGGGTGCCCTTCTGTCACTGAAGGAAAAGGTCCCAAGGCTTTCATATTTGGGGGACAGAGGAAAGTGTCTTCAAACAGCTCAGAAGGACAGAGCCCTCTGTTCAGAGAGATCGCCCGAGAGGAGCATAGAGGCTCCAGTGAGGTGTGGAACAGCACAGAGATAACCTTGCTCGTTGGGAGTAGGTTTAGGGACTAGAACCTGCATCAGGAACTTCACAGAGAGAACTGATTATCAGAAATATGCCTTAGGAGACTGGAAGACCTGAAAAGAAAAATAGAAATCACGGAGGTTAGCAGCGCAGGAGGCCCCAGGAAACAGGCGAGCAGAGCCTAGCTTCTTCTCTCATCTGGCAGTGCCTCCTGTTAGACAAACCTTGGCAGATGCCTGAGCCAAGGTGCCTTGGAAGTACACTTTAGAGGGGTCTCTGTGCAGCATTTGGAGCAAGGAAAGGCATGGAGGGGCCTATGAGCTGACGGGCAAGTGGTATAAATGGTTCCAGGTGACCCCAGGGTCCCCCTATTTATACCTTCTGTCTGGGGCCTGAGGAATAGTGTCCCTTATGTCCCCAAGTGTGCTGCTTTGATGAGATGTTGCACAGTCAGCCAGGCAATGCAGAGAAACCAAGAGCAGGACACGGTCACATGGGGAAGGAAAGGAAGAGAGACAGCAGGCAGGGGTATGGAAGGGAGAGAAGACTCTGGTTTCCAGTTTTTATCAATAAAAAGTAGATGAGCACATTGCAGTGAAAGGGCAGCAGAAGGGCCACGTTGCAGAGCAAGCATCCCACAAACTGAGGCTAATGATTCCAGCAAAGCAGGTCCACACAGGACACCAAGCACCCACGTGCACTTGGCAGGTTGCCCTGATGACACTGGAAAAGCATTTCTTTCCAATAGATGGGTTGAGTTCCAAGTTGAGTTTATTTAGTCCTTGGGGCTGAAGTTTCCAAGTCGGCACTCATCAGGTTGTCTCCCCTCCAGATGGCTGTTCCAGCCACAGCACTGCCACAGCAGTCGCAGCCCTGGGCGGCTTCCTCTACGTCCTGGCAGATCAGCCTCTGGTGCGTGAGAACGTCATCTAGCCAACCATCACATGGCTCCATCACTGCTTTAGATCTTCTGTAGCAGAAAATGCCCAGCCCCCAATACGCTTCAGTTTTTTAGCCACGTAGGGAACAGTTCCTGTTCCATTTCTGGTTGCTCCTGTCTCTTAAAAACAGCTGGTCAATGTGATACATAGCTGGTCACTATGATGTGCCTTGAATAAACCAATCCCCAACTGACAAGCCATTCTGCCTCTGTGCTTCCTGCTTAGCCAATATAAGCCCTAGACCACCCGAGATCAGGGCCTGATATTCCGAGGATGATCCCAATCAGTGCCCGTTGACATAAATAAATCTGCCTCCAAATCCTGGGTGTTGTTTCAGTGTTTCTGCTTGCCACTGCACTTCCTTAGGTTCTGGGGCCTGGGTCACACTCTGAGGAAGAGGCAGCCTTAGAAAGAGACCAGCAGGCCACCCCATGTCACCGTATCAAGTTGTTTGGAGACCTCCGAGTAGGCAGGGCCCAGAGGGTGGCTGGGAGGGGTTGGGGTGAACAGATGAATGAATGCACATCACAAGCAGTCAGTCAGGAACTGGGCCTTTTTACTTAGCCCTTGGGTGACCTTGAACAACCTCGGTCTTTGTTTCAGGTCCCTAATCCCTCTCAATACCCACTAGAGACCCACTGCCTTAGTTTGTTTTCACCAGCTATAGCAGAACACCACAGACCAGCACACCACTATTCCTCTACAAGTAGCATAAAGTGACTGTACAGTCTATACAGTTGATTCTGGAGACCAGGAAGACCAAGAGTATGGCACAGCATCCGCTGAGAGCCTTTTTGCCATAATGGAATGACAAGCGAGCATTCACCAGACACAGACAGGGCAAGAAGGGACTGACCTTATACCAGACCTGCTCTCATGATAACCAGCCATCTCTAGAGATGACATAAGTCCATTCAGAAATTCAGAGCCCCATGGCCCAGTCACCTCTCTTGGGCCTCATCTTTTTCCCATTGTGAGGTGAGGATCAAATGCAGAGATAATCCACAAATGAGCTAAATCTCCAGCCTCACTTTTTTCAGACAGAATCCCCCTAAGTTGCCCAGGCTGGCCTCCAACTTTAACACTCCTGCTTCAGCCTCCCAAGTGGCTGTGATTCCAGATGTACACCACTGCACCTAGCCAGATGCCCTCTCTTAACATTGTTACAGCAGTAGTTAAATTACAACGTGAGTTTTGGAGGTGACCTTCCAATCAGAGCACCCATACTCAAGACTTAAAGGATATTTTTTCTGATGTCAACTACTATATCCTTGCCAGTGGGGGAAGTAAGGGCCTCCAAGAAGAACAGATCAAGTCATGAGCTGGAACTCAAGAGTACTGTGAGAGACAACACACGCTGCTTTTCATATCCTATGCAGAGGCCAGGATGTCACATTTTGTGGTGACGTCATCTCAGAGATGCAGTGTAACATAGTAGTGATGTGCTCTGTATTCAGAGTGCCTGGATTGAGACCCCAGTACTGTGTCCTTGGGCAAAGTCAGTGACTTCTTAGAGACTCATTTCCTCCTCAGTAACACAAAGATGACAGCACCAACCTCAGTGTTACCTCCACTGCTAGAAGGATCATGTTCACAGCAACTGTCACATAGTGAGTCTCAGGTAAGCACTGCCTGCTGCCACAAGATCCCGACGTCAATCAACAGGGCATACTGCAAAGCATCAGGAGGGGCAGCTGGCTCCTCAGGGTTCTTGAATTCCCAACTCACCATTGTTCAGCATGAAGGCATCTGGACACTGGTTCATCACGTGGGGAAAGACTTTCCAGAAACTTCTCATAGATCCAAATGCTGTCTGTGGTGCTGTGATGGGGGCATGCACACAAGTATGCATGGCAGCGAACTAGGTGGGAAGAACATGGCCAGAATGGCCTTGCTTTGGCTCCAGGTGGAGAACAGCTGCAGCATATTTGCTGTGCATGGTACCTCAGCTCACTGAGTTGCACCTCTGTGAAATAAAATGTCCCCTGTGCCTCTGTGCCCAGTTGAACAGCCCTAGAGAGGAGGTGGGTGGAGGTTCTTCTAAATCTTGTCTGAGAGGTGGTCTCAGAAGACCACTCTAATCCTTCTTTTGAACACTTTCCCCCAGTCGTGCTCAAGTTGTCAGACCACAAGACATTCATGGATTCCTCTGACAGGACTGACTTGCTTCTGAGGTTGCTGTTTTCTTGGGGGAACCAGGAGGTAGAATTTAATACCCTTGGCCCTCAGGATGCCTCAAGGATTTCTTTCTAATTGTCTCACAAGCAAAAAATTTACTGAGACAGACATGTATCTTTTGAGAAGTCAGATGAACATAAATAGATTAGTAGGGAATTATGCCCACCTGCATCCTTCCTGAAATTGGGATGGATTATTCACTGAAGCCTGAGTCAGCACATTCCAGAAGGTTTTAAATTACCAAACCAGGGAAGTGGCTACAGGAAAACCTGTTTACAAATCACTTTCAAGAAAACACACCTAAACTGGGTGTGGTGGCATGTGTTATAGTCTCAGAACTCTTGGAGGCCAAAGCAGGATTTGAAGTTTGAGCTCAGCCTAGCAATTTAGCAATTTAGCAAGACCCTGTCTCAAAATAAAAAATAAATCAGGGTATGGTGATGTGCACACCTGTGATCCCAGCACTTAGGAGGCTGAGGCCAGATTGGCTACATAGTGAGTTCTCAAAGCTAGCTTGAACTACATAGTAAGATGACCTTGGCTCAAAAAAATAAAAATAAAAAAGTAAACTTAAAAAATAAATAAAATTTTAAAAGGTGTGGGATATAGCTCATTGTGAAGGCTCTGGGTCCAACTCTCAGTACTGAACAAATAGAATGTCCAAGTTTTAGTAGGCGTCTGTTTTGGCCAACTGGCATCTCTACATACATGGTTCCTACAGTGAGGGGAGGGTGTCTCAAATGTGCTCAGTGGACCTGAGGACCACCTACCAAACACAGTGTATATTACAGAATCCCCTGTCTGCAAAAACCTCAAAGCCAGATTCTGGGATATTGTAAATACCCTCACAGTCTTTTGGATCACTAATGCCACACAACACAGACAGAAGACATTGATCCTGTTAGAATTCCTTTAAAAAGGCTTTACATATACAACTGTGGCTTTTCAGAAGGATAAACTGATGACCCTATGTAAAAATCAAACTTCTGTGCAGGACAGCAGAAGGAGTGAGAACCAGGGTCATGATCTCCTTGAAAGCCTGAGAGAAATTTGCATCAGTTGCCCAGGAAGGGCGGTCACAACTTTGCTGTTCCATGCCCTCTCTCCTACCCTCTGGTGGTAGCCAGCAATTTTAGCCCTTGCTTTCCTATGGTTACATCGCTTGAGCTGCTGCCTTACCTCTTCATTGGGCCATGTTTCTTCCTTTGTGTGTACCCTGTCTCTTCTCATGAGGGCACCAGTCAAAGTGGATTTAGGATCCATTCTCCAGTATGAGGATCTACCCTTAACTACCGACCTCATGTTAGCTAATTAGCTCCACAAAAATCCAATATTCAAATAAGGTCATACTGAAGTTCTGGGGAGGATATACCTTTGGAAGAACACTATCCACACCAGCAGGCTGACCCTGATCACACACTGGCTCAAAGAATCAGGGGCAATGTTGCCTGCAAACAGAAAGGTCCTGGCCTAGCTGGCATCACTGTGATACCAATAGCTAGCCAGAGTGCAATGTCTCCCGGGTGCCTGTGTGTTGCACTAAAACTCAAACGCTGCCTGACCCTGAACACTGCCCCAAGATGAGGAGACTGCTAAAAAGCAGCATCTCAAAGGAAGCTTGAAGCACATGCTACAAAATAAAGCAGCTCCTTTTTTAGGGCCAGCCTTGTGGGCTCATTCAGCAGGGTTCAGGTACAGAGGTGGCAGGGCTCAGAGAAGTCTCAGATCCAGAAGGGTCCTGGGCTTGTTTTAACCCCCTGGTCTTGTCCCCTTGACATTCTTAGGCATTTTTTATTTTTGGTTTCTGTTTGTGTTTTTCTTTCTGTTTTGTGTATTTGTGTTTTTGCAGTACTAGAAAGCGAAATGTATTTGGTACAGGATCTCACTACATAGCTCAGACTTGTAGTGATCCTCCTGTTTCAGTTTCCCCCACCCCCAGAGCTGGGATTAGAGGCCTGCACTACTATGCCTGGTCTTGGTTGGTGGCCTGGGCATGCCCCGGGTGAAGCCAGCACAGCATGTGGTACCAGGAATTGAAGCCCGGTCCTTGTGCCTGCCTAGTCTGCCCTTGAATTTATGATCCTGTATTTTAGCTTCTCAAATAGCTGGCTCTCTTCTTCCAATTCGTCTCCAGCCACAATTTTGGTGTGATCTTCTCTACTGATTCCTTCTAGGACCTGTTCCCTCTCTGACTGCCTGATAATTTCTATCTAATTTAGAGGCCTATAACACTGATTTTACTTGTCCTGTGGTTACATAAGAAAACAGCCCTGGGCCGGCCAACTAGCTCAGTGGATTAAATGGGCCTACAAGCAAGCACAGGGGCCAGGGGTTTGATCCCCGGGCCTGCAGTGCCAGCCCCGCCCCGGGGGCACTCTGAGACGGCAATTGAGACTGGGCATGGTAACATGCGCCTGTAATCCCAGCTCTTGGGAAGCTGTAAACAGGCGGATCCCTATGAGTCCGATCTAGTAATGAGACCTTGAACACCCTGTAGACCCTTCCCTAAACTACAAACAAACAAAACACACACACACACACACACACACACACACACACACACACACACCAGCCCTGTTTTCAGAAATCACACTGAAGTGCAGGTAAAGGGGGAACTCTGCAACTAGGCTGCAATCAGTTCTAGAAAAACAAAAGTTTATGAATAAAGTACTAAGGCAAGTGTAAACAATCGGTAAACATGAGTAAGAGCAGTAAAAATCTGTTTCAACTTTCTCTAAATTTGAAATTACAACATGAAGTTACCTCCAAATAGTCCTTAGCCCCACCCAAAATCTCTTTTGGAGGAGAGACCTCGCGATAGCTTGGGAACTCAAGGCCGCCGAAGGCTGACATGGAGTCACGTGAGCAGGGCCCACGTGACCGAAGGTCCATGTCAACATGGCGGCCTCCACCGGGCGTGGAATTCTCTTCCTGCTTGTGCTGTCGTGCTTCCTTCGGGAAGCGTCCGGCGGCATCGAGGAGGGGTGAGTGCAGCTTCCGGGAGGGTGAACATGGCTCGGGAACACCCAGTTTTCCGGGTTCCTTGGAAAAGCCACCTCAGCTCACTGCCACCGGATCCCCGCAGGGCCTCCCGCGATGACGATCTGCTGCTGCCCTACCCCCGCGCGCGCCTGCGCCCGGCCCGGGACTGCACGCCAGTGCACACCGGGAGCCTCAAGCATGAGAGCTGGCCCCCGCCTCCAGCAAGCCACGAAGCTGGACCCCCGTCGGTGCGCACCTTCGTGTCACACTTCTCAGGACGCGCAGTGTCCGGTCACCTGACCCGGGCCGCCGCGCCCTTGCGCACCTTCTCGGTGCTGGAGCCCGGCGGTCCCGGAGGCTGCTCGCAGAAGCGCCGGGCCACAGTGGAGGAAACGGCGCGGGTGGCCACCTGCCGCATAGCCCAGAACGGCGGCTTCTTCCGCATGAACACGGGCGAGTGCCTGGGGAACGTGGTGAGCGACGGGCGGCGGGTGAGCAGCTCCGGGGGGCTGCAGAACGCGCAGTTCGGGATCCGCCGCGACGGGACCCTGGTTACCGGGTGAGGAGGCAGGGAAAACCCGTAGCCGTCAAGGGCACAGTGCGTGAGATTTGGGTTGTGGCCATGCCGTTGTCTCGTACAAGTCATCTAACTGAGCTGAGCCTTTTTTTCCCATCTGTAGAATGGAGATAGTAACATGGTACCTTCCCTGCAGAGTTTGTTCGTCACCCAGTGTCACTGAGCACTTGCTTTGTGTCAGGCAACTGCTCTGTTTTGGTAAGGTGACCCAGGATAAGGCCCACAGGTTGTCCTAAGGAACCTCTCCCATTACTAGGAAAAGTAAAAGCCAAGTAAATACTGGTAACAAGGTTAAGTTCAGATGGTGTGTTCAGTGAAGCAATGAACCAGGCGAACCAACTACGCATAGTGCTAACTTTAGTAGAGTGAGAAATAGGCCCCTCTGAGAAGGTGACCTTTGAGACTTAAAGATGGAGCAGGCCCAAAGATTGAAGAACTGGAGCATGAGCAAGCACCCCAGGCAGAAGGAACAGCAGGAACAACGGGCCAGAGATTCAGGAAGGCTTAGTGTGTGAGGGACCCGCGGAAGGAGTAAATTATTAGAAAGTGACAGGACTACTTAAGCGCCTGCCACAATTCTGGGCGTGAAGGAGCGGTGGGGTTGGAGAAGCAAAGAGGCATTAAGAGAAATGGGGTACTTTTGAGGGAGTGTTGGCCTGGAGATTGAGGACCATAAAGTACAAGGAGTTTGCAAAGGTATGTGTACAGGGGATACTTGAGCTCCCTGTTTAGCTTCAGTCTTGTTGCCCTGCTCTGATGACAGGGAGATTCCAAAGAGCAGCAGAACACCACAGCTGTACTGACTGCAGGCCTAGGCAGGTTCCTAGGACAGGAGGAGGAGTGAGCAAGCCAGGCTGAGATGGGAGGAAGGAAGGAGCCCAAGCCCCCAGCTGCCTCTGCAGGTGAGTGAGTCTCTCACCCTCCCTGGGTCCAGGTACCTGTCTGAGGAGGAGGTGCTGGACACTGAGAATCCATTTGTGCAGCTGCTGAGCGGGGTTGTTTGGCTGATTCGCAATGGGAGCATCTACATCAACGAGAGCCAGGCCACCGAATGCGATGAGACACAGGAGACAGGTGCGGGGGAGGGCAGTCTGGCAGCAGCAGGAAGCAGGCAGTGGGGGATGCTGTCCTTAAGGCCTTTGACAGGCGTTTATCGAGCAGGTGCTTTGCTCTGAGCACTGGTCTGGGCACTAGGGAGTCACAGGGTGTAGTCTAGAAGGTCATAGTTGTATAATCGTATAAGATGAATTAGTAAATGGTAAGAAAAAATTAGGAGAGAAAGAACAGGAGCTGTAGGCATGAGAACAGAGGAGCTCTGCAAAACGTTCACAGATCAACAGCCTTCTCAGCCCAGGAGCTTGTTATGCAAAACTGTGAGCCCACCTACTTCAGATCTTTAGCACTAGGATCCCAGAAGGGGAGGCTGAGAGTCTGTGTTTAAGGAATTCTTGGTAATTTTGTTTTCTTTTTTGAGACAGACAGACAGACTCATTCACTCACTAAATGGGCCAGTCTTGGCTCAAACTTTCAGTACTTTTCCTTTAGCCTCCCGGAGTACAAAGACTTCAGGAAGGCACTGCCATGTCTGGCTGAGCCCCCTGGGTGACTCTGATGAACACTGAAGCTGAGCAGCACTGTGACGCAGAATACTGGAGTGGGAGAGGGATGCCCTGACCCAGACCCATGCTGTTCTAGGGTGGATGGTCAGGGACTACCTCACTGAGGAGGCAGCCTTGGATCAGAAGGAGCAAGCCATGGGCAGGGCTTGGGAGGAGTACAGTTTTCAGCCAGAAGGAACAGAAAGTATAAAGGCCCTGAGGCAGAAGGTGGCTGGGGGGAGGCCCAGGAAGTGAGTTAGGATGAGGCCACGAGGTCATACCAGGACTGTGGAGTCTGTCTGTTAATGGGTTTCCACTAGAGGCTGGTGTCACGATGTACACCAAGCCCTCTGGCTGCCAAGGTGGGGGCCGGCTGGCACAGGGCAGAGGGCAGGCACAGAGACTGGAAAGGAGGCTGTTGTGCATCCAGAGCAGAGAAGGGGTGGCCTGGACTGGGAGGTGGGGACTGATGTGTGGTGAGAAGTGGGAGGCAGAGCCCTGAGGCCCCCAGAGGGCCAGATTGGCACCCAGCCCACTCTTCCCTCAGGTTCCTTCAGCAAGTTTGTGAATGTGATGTCAGCCAGGACAGCTGTGGGCCATGACCATGACGGGCAGCTGGTGCTCTTCCACGTGGATGGACAGACAGAGCAGCGAGGGTGAGTTTTGGGGACAGAGGCCTCCAGGCTGAGCTGTCCCTTATCATCCCATGACAGTATCCTCACCCACTCTCCCTTGGGAGTGTTCCCACAAAGCTGCCCTGGTCTCCACATATAAAGAGGGTTTATAAGTTCTGGGCCACTTCCAGAATTCATCTTCTTCCCTTTAGGACCCCTGTGCCACATAATAGCAAGCTCATAGGAGCAGAGTCTCCTGTGCTCACCTTGGGGGTTAGGAGAGGAAGACTGTGGGTGCCCTTTAGGCTAAGCTAAGCCTGCATGGGGACACTCAACCATGCTGCCCTTATGCTGCAGCGTCAACCTGTGGGAGATGGCAGAGTTCCTGCTGAGACAGGGTGTGGTCAATGCCATCAACCTGGATGGGGGCGGCTCTGCCACTTTTGTGCTCAATGGGACCTTGGCCAGTTACCCATCAGATCACTGGTAAGCACACCTGAACCTCCTCTGGAAGGTCAAAGTCTAGTTCTGCCTCCAGCTGAGCAATAGTGAGCCACTACTGTGCACCAAGCTGTGGGAATTTGAATTAAATTAGAGAGCGTCCGCCTGTGTTCTCAGTACTGTCCATACCATAGGGGCCAGCTGGTCAGGAAATGCCTCCCTGAGGATTGTGAAGTAAGAGCAGGGATTGAAGAGGAGGTGGCAGCCAGGTGGCAATGGGAGTGCCTTCCTACAGAGTGCAGTGTGTGCAAAGGCCCTGGTGTGGGAGGATGGTTGGGAATGGAGGAGCTTGTAAAGGGACTAAGGGTGAGAGCAGGGTAACAAGGAGCAGCCTTCATCCCTGAAGCAGGGGTCAGCTCGGGCCAGCACTGTAGCCTCTCCTCACACACAGCATCCCTCCCCACAGCCAGGACAATATGTGGCGCTGTCCCCGCCGTGTGTCCACTGTGGTGTGTGTGCATGAACCTCGCTGCCAGCCCCCTGACTGCAGCGGCCATGGGACATGCGTGGAGGGCCACTGCAAGTGTGAGGGGCGCTTTTGGCGGGGCACTGCCTGCAGCGAGCTAGACTGCGGCCCCGCCAACTGCAGTGACCACGGCCTGTGCACAGAAGGTGAGTGCTGCTGGGGCTGATGCTCCCGCCTCCCGCCCTGCCCACCCTCACCGGCCTCCTGGTCTTGTCTTGGCAGCTGGCTGCCGCTGCGATGCTGGATGGACGGGGTCCAACTGCAGCGAAGGTGAGACCCCTGCTCCCTCTCGGCCCCAGCAGACCCTACTGACTCCAAGCCCTTTGGCTGCCTGTATCTTGTCCTCTGCTTGGAAAGTGGCCTCTATCTCTGACTCTATTCACGTGTAAGTCTCTGCGGGAGGCCTGGTGCAGTGAGACATATCTGTAATCCTGCACTCTGGGAGACTGAGACCAAAGGCTCCCAGGTGTGAGTACATTCTGGCCAATTTCAAAACTTAATGAGACCTTGTCTCAAATTTTAAAGAGGCAGAGGATATAGCGTATTAGGAAGAGCATGAGGTCAAATACCACACACAAACAAGTCTTGATGTGAGTTCCTGTGGCTGCTGTGGCATATGCCACAAAATAAGTGGCCAGAGTCAAAGTAGGGGCCACAAGTCAAAGATCATGAGTAGGAGGACACACTGCCTCCACTGGCACCCCGAAAGGAAACTTCTGCCTGGAAGCAGCTCCTCTGGGTTCTAAGACTTGGGGGGCATCCATCTAGTCTCAGCCCCCTCCCTGTACAGGTTTCTTCTTTCTCTTTCTGATCCTCTCATTAAGACCTCTAGTCATAAGTGAGACTGGGGGGCCTAAATCCAAGCTGATGTCATCTTGAGATCCATGACATAATGGCAGTACACATACCCTACTTTCAGATCAAGTCTTATTCAAGATCCAGCCTTGGAGAATAGGGGCTTCTCTTTCTTCCCAGCTCTGCACACTGCCAAGCACCCTCTTTCCTTCAGAGAACAGCCTTGACCTCTGTCCTCCTGTCTCCCCTGTGCAGAATGTCCCCTTGGCTGGTATGGTCCAGGCTGCCAGAGGCCTTGCCAGTGTGAGCACCAGTGTCCTTGTGACCCCCAGACAGGCAACTGCAGTGTCTCCCCAGGTACAGGGCCCCTTGGGACCTTGGGGACAGGGAGGATGACCCTCTACCTTCAGCCTCAGCCCTTCAGCCTATCTCTGATGTCTTGCAGTGAAGCAGTGTCTACAGCCATTGGAGGTCACCCCTAGGGCAGGAGAGTTCTCCTTTTTCTCCAGGTGGGTACTTTGGTGGAAGCTGGGTATCCTCCCACTGGCCTGTGAAAGGTGGTATCCAGGGCTGTAGGAGGCCAGAAAGTGTCATCTGGGCATACAGGTGGCATTTGTCCTTTAGAAGCAGGGGGACAGTTCCAGCTGAGGCTGGCACTCCTGACAGTGCAGAAAGCTGATGAAAAGGGTCCACTGCAGACTCCGAGGCCTTCGGGGCTCCTTTTTGACACCTCTAAGTGCTCAGACTTGGTGCTGCTGGTTGCTTTGTTTTCCACACATGGGTCTCAAGGTTGAACTCCCAGAAGGCTTACTAGTAGAGCTAATGCCTCCTGAGGTCTTGGGGGAGCCAGGACTGCATTTCTAACACCATCCCAAGCAAAGCTGTTGCTGCTGGTTCAAGGACTCCGTTTTGAGAACCTCTGCACTTGTGGTTCTCTTCTCCAGCAGCCCAGGCCCCGTGCCTGGGCCCCATCCTGATTCTGGAGATTGTGTGTATACAATCCAGGCTCCCAGGCCTTATGGAGGGACACTCTGGGGGTGCTGACCCGGTGAGTCTAGGGAAGGCTGGATCAGCTCACTAGGTCCCAGCGGGCCCCCGACCTTTCATGAAGAAAGCCAGATGCAGTCTGAAAACACACAACAGGGGAGGACATGGCAGAGTTCCCAGAGCCCAAGCTCGCACTCCATCGGGTGGGAGCTCCAAGCCCCTTGCTGTACGGACCTCGATCCGTCTGTGGCTGCAGGCTGCTTTGTATAGCTGTGTGCACCCAGATGACCTCCACCTGGCTGTGAGGAAAAGCAGCCTCAGCACCTGAAGCCCTGGTTCCTTGCCAGTGCCCTGCCCTAGAGGAAGGGGCCCCTGGTGTGGAGCCCAGCTTTGATAGCATTCCCAGGAGCCCAGGATGGAAACTTGGAGGCCTCTAGGGGTAGATACACAGCTGTGTTTTATCTGGCTTGCACAATTTAACATTTAAAATGTATCGGCAACATCTGAAAGTCAGCATCAATTTTTTTTAATGGCTTATCTGGATATATCAGGGGAAGGGATCCCACATAGCAACTCTCCGATGCTCCTTGCATGGGTATTTAGCATGCTGCAGACCCCACTTGGCTCATTTGAGCAGTGTGGGCCCTGGAGGCCCCCACGTGGCTGCTCCCTGGCCCCCATTGGGTCTCTTTTTTTCCCCAGGACCACCTGGCTGGCACTCACCCTGACCCTGGTGTTCCTGCTGCTACTCAGCATTGTGGCCAACGTATCCTTGCTGCTGAGCTCCAGGGCAGAGAGGAACCGGCACCTGGACGGGGACTACGTGTACCACCCACTGCAGGAAATGAATGGGGAGCTCCTGGCCACAGAGAAGGAGCAGCCTGGGGACACCCACAGCCCCTTCAAGGACTGACCCCTGAGCCACCCAGATGACCCATCCAAAGGCTCAGAGAGCCACAGTCCAGCTTCAGCAAGGGAGAGTCCAGAGCCACTGATGGGGGCCCTGCAGGTGGCCTCTGCTCCCAGCACTCCAGACGCCTGATGGCACTTTGCCCCAGCCTTCGCCTATTCATCTGCTGGGGCATGTGCCACGCCAGCAATACAATGTCCCAGAGAGACCACGCCTGCTTCCCCACCTGCCTGTATCTGCTACTCAGAGACCTGTACCCTAGGGGGTCTGTGCTGCTGCCAAAGAGTCCCCAGTCTCCTGGGAAGAGGTGCTAGTGAGCGGAACTCACTGATAGAATCATGTTGGGCAGATCCCAGCCACCCCGCTGCACAGGGGTGAGTTACAGGTACGAGTCTCCTGGCCACATCATGCTGACCTCATCACAAATTTGCCAGCTAGAATTGTTTTGCATTCATGGGAAGCTCCTCAGGAAAAGGAAAGGCAGGAGAGATGGTGTTGCCCTTTTTATGGATCTGCTGTTTTGTCTTCCTGCTGCCAGAGGATTTTTTTATTACCTGAATAAATTGGTACTAAAAGGAGTCACCAGGAGGTGTAAGCACTCTGAGCCTCGATGTGGGAGCCCTGGAGTGCTCAAAGGTGGTCCAGTGCTTTTCTGGCACACAGGTCACTTTCCAGTGGTAATAAAATGTAGACAATATTCTAGTGGGGCCAGGGGCCTGTGTTTCCAGCAAGCCCCAGATGCTATTGGTGCCGAGTTGGACCACGTACTAATCAGGGCTTCCTCTTGGTCCTCACTGTATTTCATGGAAGTTGAGTTGGTCACCTGTGGTTTTGTTTCTGTGGGACTGAGGACTGAACTGAAGGCTTAGGCGCTGATACATTTCCCCAATCCTTTTGAATTTTTTTTCTTTTGAGCCAGTCTCAGTAAGTTGCTGTCCTCCTGCTTCCTGTTACAACCTCCCTCTGCCTCAGCTGGGGTTGCAGACATGTACCACCATGGGCTTAGTCACCTCTATTTGACATCAGGGAGTCCCACAAACGCCAGGTTGGTTTCTCTTTAAAAGAGAGCACTCCAGAAACCCTGGCCAAGTGGTGACTCTGCCCCTGGTCAGAGCTGCCTTGCAGGCATTGCAGCCCACTAGTAGTTTCTGTCTATGATTTGCCTAGCCCTGGGAATGTCAGAACTTATCACTAGTGGCCCTTGGGCTTCAGAAAGTTAGTGAGGTCCAGGTTCTTTGTACCTTTTTTTTTTTTTTTTTTTTTTTGGTCACTGTAACATTTTTAGGTGGGAGCATGAGGCACACAGCTTTCAGCCAATTGTCAAGTAGCCCCAGGTCCCTGAATGTGATCCACATTCAGTTATTTGTTGCCATACGACACTTCAAAACTTCAGGGGCACAAAGCAACCACCTGTTTCTTAAGAAATTACTCTCACGCTTTGGAGGATTCTGCTGACCTGGGATGCAATCAGTGATTTCAGCCAGGCTCCATGATGAGCCAGCAGGAAGCCACCTGGCCTGGACTGTGGCAGCTCAGTTCCATGGGGTGTCTCATATTCCAGAAGGCCAGATCAGGGGTGGGGCTCAAGATGCAGGTGGGTCCGAGAGAAGGAAGCAGAGAGAGACACCTCTGAAGAGAAAGAGATGTGCGGGACCACCACTCAACTGATGTTGTCTCACTTTGTCACCATGTTGGATAAAGGGGCACCAGACAAAGCCAAGTTCAGGGGATGCAGCCTGCACCTGAGGGAGTGAGGATGGGCACCTGCTGTGCATATTCCGAAGAGTAATTCCTAAGACTGCAGGTAGAAACATATTTCCCTAGAATGTTGCACAGTTGGGGACATTGGGCCCTGCCCAGACACACTTAAGTCAGAATCTTGGGGAATGGGAGCAGATCTCAGATTTACCAGGAGTACCCCGGAGGAACCTGAGGCAGTAGCCTCAGTGACAGACTGTCCTATATGCAGCTTGAAAGTCCTGGCCTCTGAGAGGTTGTTTTTGTTCTTTGCCATGCTGACAGCTGAGATGAGTGACAGTACCATGCACTGGCCCAGGAGGAGCACAGCCACATCTGAAGAGGGTCCCAGCTAAGTGACTTAGATGCACTGGGCAACGTGAACCTCCCTAAGGCCCCACTGTATTTTCTTGTTGGCAGTCCCAGAAATTGAACTCAGGGCCTTACATGGAGTCATAACCCTAGCCCATTTTTATTTTTTGAGATGAGACTTAGGTACCCAGGTGGGGTTTGAATTTACAATTGAGGCTGCTTCAGCCTCCCAAAGTGTTAGGATTTAATCTGTCACAAGAATAACCATTATCTTTGCCAGAAAAATGTCCAGGCCCTCTTCCTTTAGTACCCACCCTGGGTAGGACCCTAAAAACAAGGCCTAGAGAGGAAGAATCTGGTTCAAGGCCATGAAAGCAAGTGGTTTATTTGGGAGATGATCCCAGGAGCACTGAAGGAGGGGGGGCAGGGAGGGGGATAGAAATAAAGGCAGCCCGGACAGGTGCACTAGTGAGCAGGTAAACGATGCCGGCAGGGGCCTCAGTGCTTCAGGAGACCTCGGGGAGCTGTGGAACAGTTGTATGGCTGGAGGCTAAGGGAGCTGGAATGTGAAGCAGCCAGCACCCATTCATCACAGCCTGTAGCTGCTTCTGGGGTCATCTCCGCAGGGACTGAGGGGTTACTGCCAGCACAGGCAGCTAGCGGAAGGAAGGTGTGGATTCACAGGTCAGGCAGGCCTCTGGACAATCTGGACCATGGTCCCTGTGGTCCATTGTGGAGTCTGAGAGTTCTGTGCACACAGCCATTACCCCAGTGGTACGTGTCAGTGTCTACAAGGCCCTTCATGGAGCTTCGGCATTGGCAGGAACCCCAGGTGGGTTCTGGTTGGAGGCAGGGGTGGGCTCTTTGGAACCATGAGACAGAAACACAATTTACACGTGTGTCCACAGTTCTTGCTGGCATCTGAAAAGAGTATCTCAGAAAAAGCTGGCCCAGGAAACCCACTCAAGAGGCTCCAAAATGTGCTTCCTTACAGATGCCCTAGTAGGGATGGGCAGCCCTGGTGGGGATGGGCACGGACAGGGGAGGGGACATCGGTAGGAGCAGTCGGCAGCAGCCCCTGCCTGTGGACTCCCTGGGAACCACAGCCTCCTGTCTTTCCAAGCCCTGCCAAGTCCCCCGGCGGGTTCTGAGGCCAAGACCCATCCCAGAGATCTGCACCAGGCTCAGCCTGTGGGGCAGTAGGGAACCCTGGGCCTGTTTTGTCCTCTCTAGGCTAGGCCCCAGGAGGCCTCCAGGGAGGATCAATGGCTCAGACAGACGTCAGCAAAGACCTGCAGCTAAGCACTGATCCTAGCTCTCCGCCCTTTGGGAGCTGTCCTCCCAGGTGTGGCTGTCCTTTCTCCATACCCAAGGTACCCACAGGTCAGCTGCCTGTTCCTTTGAGATCTGTTGCCTGCACTCGAGAGAAACCCACAGAATCATAGCATACGTGATATGTTGTCTCCTTGCCCTCAGCTGCATATGTGGGCAGAGAGTTGGCCTTCAGGCCATCCCACAAAGGAGCCACACCACTTTTCTCCCAGAAAAGTGCCCCTGCTTCGTGCCCCACAGGCTTGTGGGAAGAAAAAACAGGACCTGAGAAGGAGCCTTCACAGCATTCTGATGTCAGGATTGTGGCTGTCTCAAACCGCAGAACAGAGGGCAGAGCGGCCCAGGAAGGATGGAGCACAGGTCTCACTTCCTCTGGGGACCTGGGCCATCCAAATCCCTGTGGGCAGGGTGAGCAAACTTGGGAATCTGCACAGCAACACCACTGATAAACTATATCTGTGTTTACATGTGGCGTGGATGTAGGAAGGGTTATACATCATCCTCCAAGTCCACATCCACTCAGAATTTCTGCAGGGTCTTTGGAAGCAGGGTCTTTTTTGTTGCTCAATGATAGCAAAGTGTTGTTAAAGATAAAAAAAGAAACAGGCTCTGCAGAGTGAGTTTGGGCCAAGTCAAAGGAAGAGAGTAAGTACATCCCACAGCATGAGGGGGCCCAGCATGCAAGAGAGAACAGAGTGGCCATGGAATCAGGATCTTTGCAGATGTTACTAGTTAAAAATATCCAGACAGTGACATGGTGGATCTAGAATGACCCACAATCTATTGTCCTTGTAAGAGACACCGGAAGAGTCTATGTGACAAAAGACAGAAGCTGGAGGGGTGGGGCCATAGGCCTGGGAATGCTTGCCAACACCAGGCTTAAGCCGCACACCCTATTTATAGTAATTGTTACAGCAACACCAGAAACTTTAAGTAGATCTGATTTCAGATGAGATTGGGTGCATTCAGAGTGGTATGGCCATAGACTAGATCAAAATGTGATCCCACCCAGTTGTGGTACACATCTGTAATCCCAGCACTGGAAAACTGAGGCAGGAGGATACACATTTGAGCCTAGTCTGGAAAACTCAGCAATTTAAAGAGACCCTATCTCAAAAAAGAAAAAGAAAAAATTAAAGGGATAGGGATATAGCTCAGTGGGAAGGCCCTGAGGTTAATCCCTGGTACTGCCAGAAAAGAAGTGTGACCAGCTATCAAACAATCAGCAGCCCCTCGGGGATGGTCCTGTTCTTTTGAGAAAGCTCCTATAGTCTCAGAAAAAGAAAAAACAAACATCTGAACAATTCTCCAAAAAACTAAGAGCAACACCAATATTTGGGGAAAGTCCATGACAGGAAACTCCAAACCTCAAATGCTTAAAGCTTCTAGTAGCACAAAAGATGAGCCATACAAAAAGAATCCCCCTTCACTGGCTGCTACAGACAGTGTTGTAAAGAATATTATTTTCATTGAGCAATTAATTGTATGAAGGGAAGGGGAATATGCAGAGAGTGTGGGAAGGTAGGAAAAAGACAAAAAACCCTGAAGCTCTCATTTCCATGTCCTAAGATAAATTCTCTCCATGGCTAAAGGGAACAACTCTCAGAGTGATGCACACCCTAGCCAGGCTTGGTGGCACAAACCTGTAATCCCAGCATCCGGAGAGGCTGAAGTAGGAGGGTCCCAAATTTTCATGGACAATCTGGCAACTTAGGGAGACCCTGTCTCAAAGTTTAAAAAAAGATAATGACCCTTGGTTCAATCCTCAGTACCACATAACATAACGACAATAATTGTGATGTTTTTGCCAATTAGAAGTTTGTCCAGAACACAAGCAGCTTTTAAAGGGAAAAGTGCCCAGGGGCTGGCGAGATGGCTCAGTGGTCTAAAGCACCTACTTGGAACAAGCTTGACAAAGCACAGGGACCATGGTTCAATCCCCCAGCACCACATGCCAGCCAGCCCCGCCCCCTGGCGGGCTGAGCTGACCACACGCGCCCGCACGCACGCACGCACACACACACACACACACACACAATAAATAAATAAAAATGTTTAAAAAAAAAAAAAAGTGCCCAGCTCCAAGGCAGCAAGCCTCCATGTGCTCTGGATGCCACCAAACTGTCTCACAAACTTCAGTGGGTGACACCTTGGGAAGGAGCCTGGAGTCTTTGAACAGGAAACAATAAACAGTCACAATTACTGCAGACATTTATTGAACGCTTTCTGTGTGCAAGACATTGTGCTAAAGGCTGAGTGCATCCACTCCCAGTTTGTTCCACTGCAACCCAATGAGGTAGGCACTGCTATCCCCATTTAACAAATGAGGAAACTGAGGCACTGAGAGGTTAAGTTACCCGAGGTTATACAGCTGTGAAATGAGGGTTGGGTTTTGAACTCCAGTTTAAATTCCACACCCAAGCTCCTAAGCATCCATGTCATGGTGCTCGGAATGGTTCTGACCTGGCCAGGTTGAAGTGATGAACATAATGGAGAAAAAGTCCAAGCCAAGCTGCTCACAGGCCCTGGGTCCAGAAACTTAAAGCCTGACAGCCCCGTCCTAGGCTAGTTTTCATTGCAGCCTCCCTGAGCCAAGACTGCCTGTGACGGTGCTTTGCATGGGTTTCAGAGTCCTCCTCACGGAGCACCAAGCAAACACTGCCATGGACCTCTGTCTGCTAGGACTACAGCCATGCTCCCCTTGTCCTCCCAGTCTTCTGTCACTCCTGCAAGGAATTTCCATCAAGGATCCCAGCCCCGTGGCCTTGTGGTCAGGTACACATGGAGCGGAGCCCATTAGAATCCTCCAGAACAACTTCAATGGTAATGTGCCTTTCTCCATCTTAGAAATTTCAAGGCCCATAGGGACAGATTTGGGGCAGCTGGCAGTCCCCTTTCTCCCCAGATGGAAGAAGGAAGCCAGTGTGCAAAGGGACACAGTGTCAAGAGGTCTGGGTGCAGCTGAGAGGCCTTGGGGACATTAGGTTCCTGGATCCAGCCTTACCTGAAATAAGATCCTGCCTCATTTATCCCAGATGCAAGACCAAGAAATTCCCTCTGATGCTTAAGCCTGTTTTAGCTGGGCTGGGGTGGACAGGAGAACCTCAGGCTTCTAACCCCTGCCTGTAGCTGGACTGTGGCCCAACAGACCCTCCTCTCTGCAATCAGCATGTCTAGCTTCCACCAGTGAAAGGCTCTCTCACTAGACAAATAAAGGTGCAGAGAGCACCAAGATAGCTTATCCCAAAATACTTCTAGGGCAGCTTATAGCACCTAGGTTTGAGAGATAAGCTAGAAATTCTTTAAGAGCACTGAAAACATTGTAAACTATTCTCTGGTGAATGCTTAGTGACATGAGACCACTTAGCTCTGAGAATGTCACCCTCCAGTCATTCTCATGTCAGGTCATGCATGATGCAGAGCTGTGTGTTCTGTTCCCAGACCCGAGAAGCAAGAGCACCAGCAGCACTGTGACGGGCTACAGGGCGGGGGTGCTTCGAGGACAGCACTTTCCCACGGCTGTGTGTTTGAGGCTAAGGTTGGCGCGGGAGCCTGTCCTTGTCCTCCTTGCTCCAGCACACTGAGTTTGCATACAAGTGACAATGCCCATGGTTGTAAGCCCAGCCCTTGGGCCAGTGATTCTGCCAGAAACGTCCCCACTCTAAGCAAGATTGAGAGATAAGAGTAACAACCAAGCCTCTGGCTCCCCATTAGGAGCTGGCTCTGGGCAGAGCTGGCAGCAAGCCCCTTCCAGGGAGATATCAAGGGTCAGAAGTGAGGTCTGTGGTCCCATGATCCAAGGTCACAGTGGTGATGCATTCAGGTAGCAACAGAGGAGAGGCCCCATTTTGTTACCACTCCCAGATGCCTAAAGGAAATCAGAAATGCTTATTTGTATGTGAAATGCCACAATTTTTTAACCATTCTTTAGGCAAAAAGCAAAAACACTAAAAGCACACCAAACTGGCTGCAGGTCACCAGTCAGACCTCTGACCTGCTCTTCTGGGGAAGAGGTGCCAGGAATATGAAAGAGAAGTGTCCAGGAGTACTAGCTAGAGAAAGTCACGTCAGTAGTGGAGCTGATTCCTGAGCACCCCAACGGGAGCCCTGACCTCACGTTGAATGTCAATCTAGCCTTACCTGAAGCCTAAGAGCTTCTGGTTTAGCCAGTTACATGCACCCACAGTCACCCTCTTATGTTTAAGCCACTGGACGGTGAATTTCTATGGCTTACAACCACCGCAGGTCATAATTAAACAGGCTCCTGGAGAAAAAGGGACCTCTAGGGGGATGCAGAGACGGCCTGTGACATCTCATCACTGCCTGGAACTTGGCAGGAGCCCTTGGCCTCCCCATCCTCTCCAAGTCAGGGTTAGGCCACAGCCCTTGTGAATGTGCAAGGACTCAGACCATTGTTAGGCAATCAAATGCTGAGGTGACCATGGGTCCTTTCTGCCTGCCAGGTATCTTTTCCTCCCTTTTTTTTTTTAAGAGGGTCTTGCTCCCTGGTTCCGTAAAAAAAAAAAAAAAAAAAAAAAAAAAAAGAGGGTCTTGCTATGCAGTTCAGGCTATCCTCAAACTCACAGCGTTTCTCCTGCCTCAGCCTCTGCAAAGCTTGGGTTACAGGCCTGCAGCACCATGCCTGGCCTCCTGTAATGGGGAGACTAGTACTCTTTGAGGGACTGCCTTACACTGTTCAGGTCATGTGATTGGCTCCAGGCAAGTGCACGTGATCCATGATGACCAATCAACACACTGCGGCCCACCCCTGAGTGTCACAGTGATTCCTCCCGATTGGACACATAAATCTGCTGACCAATCATCATTCTCCATTTCCTGGCAACCGTGATTGGTTCAGGAACGTCTGTAGCCCCAGCAGAGTGATAAGAGGCAATTCTTAGAGCTAGACCAGAACTTTGGAGACAAGTGTTCCCTTGCACACTGAACCTGGGAAGAGGGGAGGGCGTCCACCGGTGATAAGTACCCTACATGAGGAAAGGCCACAGGAGAAGGAATCCAGCCCAGAGAAAACAGCAAGTGGTGAAAAGGGCTGTTTCCCCGTCCAGGGAGAGCTAAAGGTTGCAGGATTCACATGTCTGGGCCTTTCCTTAACACCACATCCAAAAGAGATGGCTCTGGCCTAGCAGCATCCAGCGCCCTGATTTGGGAGTCGTGCCTCACACAGGCCGAGAGCAACATCCTTGTCATCTGGTCCAGACACCCGAGCTTTGGCAGCAGCTAGACTGGATGCTCCAGCACGCACATTCTCCTTGGCCTCTAGGCCAGCTGGCCTCCTGCGCTGGACCGTTCTAGATGTGGCTCTGCAGGGCTCTGAATCAGCTATCTGGAAACCAGCGAGCTGCGGTGAGACTGGCTGGAGGAGGATGAGGTAGCGGCACTGAGCTGGGAGAAGCCGCTGGTGCAGGATTCCAGGCTGGACATGGAGCCCCTGAGGAGGAAGGCACAGCAGCATTACCTTCTGGTGCAAAAGCCATTAGAACTGCAAACAAGGCCCCAGGGCTCATTCCACAAGAGGCACTTTTCCACTGAGGGAAAAGTCTGTGACGTCATGATGAGAAATGACACCCACTCCTGCCCGATGATGCCCAAGACACTGCAGAGGCTTTGCAGACCTGGGCCCTAGTGGGGCCAGAAGCCACTCAGCCTGGGGAGGCCCAGCCCCAGCTCATACCCACTCACTCATCCCAGCTCATGTGGGGAAGCATCCCACCCAAGCTGAACCATCCAGGTAATTCCTGCTCCAGACTTCAGGTCGGAGCTGTCCAGAACTCTCTGTGTGACTGACATGTTCTGTATCTGTGCTGTTAAGTGAGCCATCAGCCTTGCAGGTCTACATGTGGAGTGTTCAAAATGTAGCTAGTGCCACTGAGACACTGAACTTTTTATTTGATTCTACTTGCTATGTTTAAATTGCTTCAGGTGGCTTGTAGCAGATTTAACCTGTTATTTTTAGATGAAAACACAGATGTAACCTGAAGCAGAATGCAAAATCACATTCATTTTTAAAAGGTAAAATGGAAGACCTTAAAGACCTTTCCTGCAACACCTCCAGACTCTCTGATTCACTTCTGAGCATTTACTGTATGCCCAGGTGATAGGCAAGCTTCCCCAAGCCATTCCACACTCACCATACTTCATGAGGAAGAGTTCCAGCAGTTGCCATATAACAGACAGAGTGCCTGAGGCTCAGAGAGGTGAAGACCTTGCCTGAAGCTTCACAGAAGCCAGAAACAGCTGGCAGTCATAACCACTACCTGTCTCTGAAAACAACTACTTGTGACAGTTATAAGACACTCTTATAGAATGTTCTAGGCAGCTCCCATCCTAGTGGAATTCTAGGAAGGGGAGAACAAATCAAAAGACTTTTTCTGCCTCATCCTCAACTGCTCTAGTATATTGGGCTTCCCTCTGTCAGGCCTTTGTCTGACAGGAAGGGAGTGCTTCAGAAGAATGAGAAGCAGGACTGGAGCTCTTTCTCACACTGAAGGCCTCTTTGTACCTGCAGGGTCCTAGCAATACACATACCAGGCCCACCCCCAGCATGGAGAAGCCACCCAGCAGTAGGGCAGAGCCCACAGTCATCTGCACCCCAGGAGGGGTGACCTAGGGTGCTGGGACCTCCCACCCCATCCTACCTGAAGTCTTCTGAGGCCAGCACCTCACAGTAGTAGAGGAGTTTGCACTTAGGCCCGGGGCTGTGCAGGGCTGTTAGGACGTCATCCACACCCAGGAGGCTGCAAGCCACACTGCCCAGGGGGCTATGCACCTGCCACTGCAGCAAGTAGACTCCAGGCCACCGCGTCACATGGGATCCCTGGAAGACAGCAGCTGTGCTCTGAGGCCTGAGTTCCTCAGGCATGGGGTGAGGAGGTTGGGCCTTCGGAGACCTCCTAGAAGCCTCTGGCTTGGAAACGGGGCCCTGCTTAACTGTCCCTTCCTGCAGCCCAATAAAACCCCCTCTGAAAGGGCCTCCTGAAGGCACCTTGACTGCTCCCACTGTATCTGTAGCACCAGAGCCTCCCATGAATCTGAGGGAGTCAAAGACAGGGAGTGACAGCAAAGGAGTGGACAGTCAAGGACAGGGCATGCCAAGCGAGGTCTGCAAACTGCACTAGGGAAGGAGCAGCAGGTGGGCCATAGGTGTTTGGGAAAGCTTCGGGGGCTGGGAGACAAGCTTGGGGAGGTGTAGGTTGTTACAAGAAGAGCAACTTTAGTAGTAGTGTAGACAATAATCCCAGCACTCGGGGAGGCTGATTCTGGAGGATTCCAGATTCAAGCCCAGCTTGGGTATCTTAGCTATTTAGCAAGCCTGTCTCAAAATAAATAAAAAGGCCTGGGATGTAACTCAATGTGAAGGCCCTGGGTTAATCCCCAGTTCCAAGGAGAAAAACAAACTTGAAAAAGCACTGGGGTGTTCACTGGGTCATGAGGTGCTGGTACATGACATGCAAGACAAGACCGCCTCCTACTCCAGGAATGTCCATTAAGATCCAATGTGGAGCTGGATTTCACTCCCAGGATGTAGATGCAAGTGTGTGTGTGTGTGTGTGTGTGTGTGCACGCGCACCCGTGTTGAGGGGGGAGGAGGGATTCTACCTGGAATGCTGGCCCTCCCTGGGCCTCATAGAGAATAGGGGAAGGGGGTTAAAGCTCACATTCCACTTAAAACATCCAAAGTCAGTGCCTAGACCTGCACTTTCTTTGTTGCATCAGTGCTGACCCAGGGACACGACAGGATTCCTATGAAGGAGGGTGTGTGGACTCCACGAATGCCCCCTCAGAGATTCAGGATTAGCCAACCAGGTGTGGGGCCTACAGCAACCTGTATCTTTGAGAAGTGTCCCAAGAGATTCCGAGATTGGGACCCTGGGGCCCTGAATCTTCTCACTGACCTCAGAACCTTAGCACTTCCCCTTCTATCACCCTGCAACTCACTATGCCCCTGCAAAGCCATCTGCCTGCCTCTTCAACCTTGTTCTTGCTGTTTCTCCAACCTGAAACATCCTCTCTTCTCATGCACTTCTAGACACCGCTCAAGGCCTCCTCCATGCTCAAACTGCTTCAACTTAGGCAGGGAACTGGGACTTAGAACTCTAATACCCTTATTTTTCTCCCTGTTGGAAAAGTACACTGAGTAGAACAATAAGCCCCTGCCCTTTGCAAAGCTCATGGCCATTGGAACCTCAAGATGTGATCTTATTTGGAAGGTGTTTCCAGTTAAGGATTTAGGGGGCCCTAAACACAATGACCCAGTGTCCATTCTCCTTGTGAGAGAGGGCGGTGGGGCATTTGAGAACAGACCCTTGTGAGGACAGGACCAAGGCTGGAGTGGTGCATCTGCAGCCAAGGCAAGCTGAGCCCTACAGGAGCTGCCAAGGCTGAGGAGAAGAGCCCCCCTTTGATTCCTTATAGGACCACCACCCTGAAGACACCTTGATATTGAACTTGTAGATGGGGAAATTTAGGCTCTGGACCTAAGCTCTCCCCCAGCACACAGAAGCCTCTCAGCAGAGCACTACCTGCTTTCTCCATGTCTCCCTGAGTGTCAGGGGGCAAGTGAGCATCTATGACACAGACACTGAGTGTCTCTGCTACTCTGTAGGTTGCTGAGGCCAAGGACCATGGTCAGTTTGTCTAACACTGTGTATCCAGAACCTGGCACTCATATTGTGCAGTGGATGACTAAATGACGCAAAGCCCACAAACCTGGATGCTCTCTCCCTCCCGGCAAACTAGAGGTGCCTCCACGCGGCTGTAATCAGTGCCCAAGACCCAGCCTTTGTCAATCAGCTGCCCACTGGTCCTGGGCCCAGGCTCCCGGGAGCCCGTCTTGGGCATCTGCTTGGTATGGTACAGGCTGAATACCATGTCCCCTCGAAGGATGTCGAAGTCCCAGGTGATAACTGACTCCCCCTCCAGAATCTCCACGGCAACCTACATGAGGACAGAGGACAGCCAGGATTGGGAGGAGGGCACAAGAGGACCTCCCTCCCTGGGGCACTTGCCCAGCTGCTGAGGTGCCTGCTGCTTCTCATCCAAGAATCAGTCTGAGCAAATGGAGCCATCTTTTTCCAAAAGGCCAGGGAGGGTCCACCTTGGGAGGCCATTAGGTGCCAGAGATCTGAGGAACATGGGGAGATCTTGCCTCCAAGCAGGACCATGTTCCAACCCACTTCACATGCCAGAGCATAGAGTCACCCCACATCCACCCTATGGGAACCTGACCAAGAATGACCTCTGACCCCTGCCCCCCCCCAGCCAGGACCCACATTGCACCTCATGAGGAGCCCCTCGGAACACGCTGGCCGAGTGGTAGGTCTCACTCCACTGCCGCAGTTGGTCTGCTTGATCCTGCTCCTCCTCCGTCAGGTAAAGGGACTTGGGGACCAGCCCTCCTTCAGGGACATTACACTGGGGGTCAAAGGCAAGAAGGCAGCAGGTCAAGGCCTGTGGAATCCTGGCTGGCCAGAGCCACAGAGCAGTCCTGGGAGTCCTGAGACAGCTTGGAGTAGTGACCCCTACTGAGCTCAGCAGTGGCTCCTATAACTCCACTTAGCACCAGAGGCACCAACACAGGAAGAACTATTCCCCAGGGGAAGGGAATGGAGGCTCAGCCAGGCCTTGCCACTTGCCCAAGATCACAGAGCAGAATGTGGCTCAGCCAGGTGCCAAACCCATGTTTATCAGACCTCCCCCCCATCGCAACACACACACAGCACACTCATATCCCTTCCTACAGTGCTGGAAAAGGCTCAGGACCCCTTCCACACTGCACCCCACAGCACACGTGTCTCCCCAGTAAAGACAGGGACTTCTCAAAGCCAAGGGTGCCTGGGTGGCAGGCCACCATCAAACAGTAATTTTCCTCATTTCACTTGCAAAACAATAAGGCCCAACATAACAAGGTCACTGCCCAGTGTCCTTCAATAAGTCACTCTCAGATCTGTAAGCAGGCTAAAATGGAAATAAACACAAAAACAGATCTCAACAAGTGGAGAGAGCAGACAAGCTTGGCAGAATCATAAGTTGGCTTCTTTTTATCTAGAAATGGTGCTAGCATGCTATTGGGTGTTTCTGTTAGAGGATAGCCTGTGGCCCACAACCATGTGAACGAGAGAGCTGGGACCCTGAGACACCCTGCCTGTCATTTTACCCCCAAAGGAGACAATAAATGGGTCTGGACACCACCTGCCCTTTGAGCAGTGGCCTGATCATCCCAGGTCAGTGCCAGTATAAAGCGACAAGTTCCTTTGGGAATACCAGGTCCAGGACCCCGGGCCAGGGGAATTGGGAGTCACCTCCCTGCTGCAGAGGGCACAGAGTGGGCAGGCAACCTCCGCTGCCTAGTATCTTGGAAGGGACACAGGGTGGGGAAAGCCTTTTCCTGGCCCTCAGGCTTCTAGAAATTTTTGTACCACTCCCTATGTTTGAAAGAGACAAAGTGAGAGCCCGTCCCAAGTGGTGTCCCACTCTTTACTTCTACAACAAGTCCCATCCCCCTTAGAGCCACAGGCCTCCTGGGCAGGAGCAAAGGGCTAAGTACTGGCCTGTCTTTGTCAGCTTCCCTTCCCAGAGCCCCAGCCTCCAGCCCCTGCCCAGGACCTCACCACGCTGTCCCCCCCTAGGAAGTCAGGGATCACGTCTCGGTCCAGGTAGTCTACCAGGCCCCCAGGGCCCTGGTAATCACTGCCACTGTAGATGAGGAACTTCCTCCTGGTGTTCTCACTGATGAAGGGGCTGATCTGGGGAAGCAGAGACAAGGAAAAAATGGACTCTACTGAGATATGATTCATATAACACAGAAATAACCACTTGTGGGGGGTGGTGTCACACATTCCTATAATCCTGGCACCCTGGGAAGCTGAGGCAGAAGACAATTTAATTGACTTAGCAAGACCTTGTCTCAAAAAATAAAAGAGTGGAGATGTGGCCCAGTGCAACAGCTCTGGATTCAGTCCTCAAAATCATCATCACCACCATCTTCAAGTGCACCATTCTGGGCCCTTAGTGCACTCACTATGCCAGGCAAGCATCACCTCCGTGTCTAGTCCCAAGACATTTCCATCACTTCAAGAGGAGACCTACCCCTGGCCATGGTCATTTCCTACTCCCCTCTCCCAGCCCCTGGTGATCACTAATCTGCATTCTGTTCCTAATGCGGGCCTGTCCTTATGATTCCTTTAAAGGGAACCCCAGCCTATGTGGCTCCCTCTCTTACCAGCGTCCAGAGCACGGGGAAGACTCGGGGGGCTCGCACAATGAGCAGCCGGCCCAGGGTCTCTGGGTAGTTGTCCTCCACCACCTCAATCATGCGCAGTAGGGCCTTCACACCTGGTCGCCATAGGTGCCGCATGCTGAGGCCCTCCAGGTCCAACAGGCAGGTCCAGGAGCTGTGGTAGACAATGGGCCCATGCTCCACCTGTCTCTGCCACTTCCCATGGCCCCCAATACCCTTTCCAGGGATAACCCAGGAGGCTCAGTGAGATACAACTAGGAGAAGCGACTGAACACCTCTGCGGATCCACAGTGAGAAGGCCACACAGTAAAGAGCCCCAGAATGTGGACTCCTAGGCCAGTATTCAAATTCAAGTCTCACTTCTACCCTTGAGAGCTGTGTGACATGAGCCAAAGATCTAACTTCTCATGTTAGTGGCAAGTATAGTAACAGTTGTTACTTCCAGCAATGGTTGTTAGCATTAAACGAGAAAATAGATGTAACACTCTGCAAGGGAGGCACATAGCATGTGCTCAGCAAACAAGAGTATTGCTATTAAATATTAAAAAGATGCTAACTACTAAATAGAATAGGCACAAGCATTAAGAACGTGCACATGGAAACCCAGCATAGTGGTACATGCCTGTCATCCCAGCACTCTGGGAGGCTAAAGCCTGGGCAACTTAATGAGACTTTTTCTCAAAATAAATAAAAAAATTTTTTTTAAAAAGCCAGAGGTATAGCTCAGTGTGAAGACCCTGGGTTCAATCCATAGTACTGAAAAATAAAACAAAAAATAAGCATGAACATATGCTTAGACCGCTCAGGTTGAAATCCCAGTTTTGCCGTTTGCTGGGTAGCCTTGTCCAAGTGTTTAAACTCTCTCTGCTGCCATTCCATTAGCACTAATTCACTAGGGAAATGATCGTCTTGCTCCTTTGACTGGTCCCTGTGGGCCCTCCCCCCAGATGTTCCCTTGATCCTGCCCAGATCTCTGCAAGGAGGCCATTGTAACATCTCTCATTTGAACATCTGGGGGAAAATCTGTCTCTGACTAGGTGTGTGACTGACTCTTACCCACCACACACAATCCCCCTGCTTAGGAACTCTCCCAACAGCAAAGGAACTTAATCTTACAGAGGATATTTGGGGATAAAAGGTGTGGCAGTTAAATTTAATGGCATCAACTTGATTGGTTCGGAGCCACATAGGGGATCAGGGGATCAGTGGAGTGCACTCCTGGGTGTCTGGGTGAGTCACACAGGCATGGCCTTGAGGTCTATATTTGGTCCCACAGCCTTGATCTCTGGCACTAGTCTGCTTTAGGAACCACAAACTAAGCAGCTCTGTCCCACTGTCCCCTGCACCCTGATGTTTCTACCTTGAAGCTTTTTGACCATGGACTGAACTTCCTGAACCCAGAGCCAAGTTCTCCTTTAATTTGTGTGTATTGGGTATTGTGTCCCAGTAACAGGACAGATGCAAAAGGCTTACCGGGCACATCCTGCTGAAAGGAACTCAAGGGCTGAGGCCTCTCATGTTATACCTGTGTCTGCCTTATCATTTAAAGCTGTCATTTTTGAGAGCCCATTTGCAAGCCCACTTTACAGAGGGACCTGCCACCCTGAAAGGTCCATCGCTTCTGAGCCATGCACTGTCAGTGCTGGCAGCTGGAATCTCAGCTCACTAACAGCAATTCTAGGGATTTAGAGAAGAGTGAACCACTCAGTGGGCAGTGATCCCTGGGAGCCTGGGCCACCTGAAAGGACAGGTCAAGGAGCAGCTTGGTCCAGCGTACTGGTCTCAGCAAGTCAAGCCCAAGGGTCAGGGCACATAGGAACTCAAATCCAGCTTTGCCACGGAATACTCCACAATCCCAGGTGAATATCACCCCCTCTTCAATGGGGCTCAGTTTTCCCACTCAGGACAATTACAGTCCCTGCCTCATAAGACCACCGTGAGGCTTAAGCAGGACACTGCTATACTGGCACTGGCTGGAATCCTGGGCCATGCTCTTGATTATGAATGACAGTGTCTCATTACCTAGGGGGAATCCACCCCCAGCCCGACTCTTGCCTGATGGGACGGCCAAACTGTCTTGTGTTCCCTTCGCATCTCTTCTGACCTTCCTCGTTGACAGAAAGAACCTGGGAGGAGACAATGGCTGGGCTTACAGCCCACCATAGGTAGTAGGCCCCGCCCCCCACGGACCACGTGCCTCCGCACTCCCTGTCCCGCAGGCCCAGCCCACCCACCCAGGACAGCCACTCACGTGCTGCAGCAGTGCCTCCTCCCCCACGGCTTTCATCAGGCCCTTAGTGTCCATCTGGCCCAGGCGCAGGATATAGAGTGGGCGGCCATCTGTGCAGGGCCAACCAAAGAGAGGGATGTTGTTTGAGGTGATGCCGCTGACAAGGCCTCGTAAAGGCTATGGATAAGAACGGCACTTCCTCAGGGGAAGAGACACTGGGCTGAGCTCACCAAGGCCCTGTTTGGCCAGTTACGGATTGAGGGGGACTTGCCCACCCCTCAGGAAAGGAGATAAAGATGTGTTCCCAGAAAGGTGCAAGAAGCAGTGTGAGGGGCCTGTGGGAACTCCCGCTCCATTGGGGCAACTTGGGCCCTTCTAAAAGCGTTGTGCTTTGTTTTGTTAGCAATTTAATAAAACTCTGATTCAAAATACTAAAAAGTAATAATAATAATAATAAAAAGGCTGGGGATGTAGTTCAGTACAAAAAAAAAAAAAAGAAAACAGAAAAAAAAACCTTTTTAAAAAAGAATGAGCATGTCATGAAAGTACAGAACACATAAAATTTAGTCCTTAGCTTTCTATTAGCTGAAGCAAAAAGTCACATGCAGAAAGATCTATGGCTTTAATTCTCATTATCCATGATGATTATGTTCTATAAAGTCATTATGAACACTTTATTAGCAAATACCAAACCACTGCTTTTGGGGAAATGTGGTGATAAGTTCCTGCAAGCCTCTAGTCATAAGATTTTTGATGACCTTATTTGATATGCCTCCATTGAAGGCCACTTTACTTGATATATTATGTGGAGTCATGACCACTGAACCATAGACCAACAGCACAGTCGAAGCAGCACAGGACCTCACCCCAGAGAAGGAGAGCCTACTGAGCGCAGGTATCTCTCCGGAACGTGCACAACAGCAGCCTTCTTGCCCTGAGGGACACTAGATAGCACCTCAGCCCTATGCTTCTGGCTAGTTAAGCAGCAAAACTGCCAGTAGAGCACAAAAGTACAAAATGATGTCATGAAACAGGCCACCAAAAGGCCCCTGGTGTGCAGTGTAAGTGCTGAATCAGGAAGGCGGAGGGTTGCCTCACCCCGAACTCAGCAGAACGTCGTTGTCAGACCACTGAAAATTTTCACCATTCTGTACACATCCTTAAAAGAGCCATAAGTGCTGCTTTGGGCTCAATTTGTTCAAAACAAATTGTATCAAGTAGCAGGATTCGCAGTGTGAAGCCCACAGTGAGGACCAGCAGACTATTAAAGAAACAGCCAGTTCTTCCAGGAGGCAAAGCATCTGCTCAAATCAATACATGTGGATTTTGACAGAGAAGACATTCAAAAGCACACTAGGCACTGACTTCAATGACTACTTAATTTTTTAAATCTAAAAGATGATGTCTGTAGTGGCTGGAGTAGTATCTCCCCAAATTTTATGTCCTTGGAACCCTGAAGTGTGACCTCACTTGGAAGCGGAGGCTGGGCAGGTGAGAGACAGAATGAACTTCTGTTGTTTGGAACCACCCAGGGTTCGGTCGTTTGCTATGGCAACCCTCGGGGATGATGCAATATTAATGGAGCCATTGCACAAATAATCCAAAGCAAGGGTGACTAACTGAGCCCAGGGCACACATGTCTGTCCGCAGCCCCAAGGCTATTCGAGCTCCACCTTCTTTGGTGGGAGGTAGGAGGGAACTTCATAGATCCCTCCAAAAACCAAAAGGAAAACAGGATGTTTGGATGAAGCCTGTCACTGACAATAGCCATAATTTGTAGCACACGTCAGGTGTGTAGGTTGAAGACATACCTATGTCCTGGTAATGCCAGCCCCCTGCATAGAACTCCTCTAGGAGCGCTGGGGGCCGCCATGTCTGAAGGAGGAGGTCTACTTGGTGCTGCTTTCGCCAGCTCAAAGACTGGCATAGCATCTCCCGGGCCTTGTCCAGGTGAAAGTCCCGTGCCCGCAGGAACCGGAGGATGTGCTGGTCTTTGGGAATCTGAGAGGTAGAGGGAGAAAAGCCCACAGGTACAATTATAAGAAATGAGTCTTCTGTCTCATCAGCAAAACACTCCTCTGGGAAAGGACTCTCTTTTCCTTGAACTGTCTTCTCTACTTGTACTGGGAACAGGGTCTTTCCCCTCTTCCTCACTCCTCAGTGCACCACTTACGCAACACTAGCAATAAAGGCTGCTCTTCTGTGAGCACTCGCTCTGGGCAAGCCATCTTTCTAAGCACTTTACATGGATCAATCTTTGTAACTCATTATTGGTAGTACAGAACAATGTCATCCCCACTTTACACGTGAAGAAACAGAGGTGGGCAGGTTAAATCACAGCCAAACATTAAGTAGCTCCTCCCTGTCTTCACTGGTGGAGAAAGAAAGGTAAGAAGCCCAGGCCTTCTTCAAAGAAGTGGCAGTCAAGGCCATGGGTGGGATACACTGGCATGGTGCACATACACATTAGAGGAGTTAGCATCTAAAGCCAAACTCCATGGGTATTCAAGAATCACAGAGTCACAAAATCTCATAGAAAGGGCCAGTATAGATGGTTTCATGAATATGGTTCTATGTTGGAAACCTTGTGGGTTGTCATAACAAGGGAGAAGGAAGCAGCTAGCGTCAGTTGGCTGGAGGCCAGGGATGTTATTAAGCATCCTAGAGTGTACACAGCAACCACTGACTACAAAGTCGCCTGGCCCCAAATGCCACTAGCGCTGAGAAAGAAACTCTACCAACAGCGGTACCCTCAGCATGTGGAATGGGTACACAGGACAATAACATTAAAGATACAGTGTAAGCTTTTCATATTACCAATTACACAAACCGCTCTCGCACCTGCACCCACCTTGCCTCTGTGGGTCTCCTGCAACCAGTGGCGAAGCTGGATCAGGCAGCTCTCCTGCATGGGGGTGAGATGGCCCAGACACCTCTCGATATAGTCTGCATCCAGCTTGTCCCCTTGGCAGAGAAGGGAGACTTAGGACCAGAGGGAGATGCCTCACCCCGACCACACAGTCTCACCTTTCTGTTGTCCTTGCTTTACTTACTGGCCATCATGACTCCAGGATGTGGCTCCAAGCCAGGCCATACCCTTCCCCATTCATCTCTCCAACCCGTTTCCAAAGAGATTCCAAAAACTCATGCAGGACCCTCTTGGGTCTCACTGTGGAAAGTGACTCCTCCCCTTTGGCTCACTCTCCAGAAAGGTTTCAAAGATCTTCCCCATTTGCTCAGGACATGCCTGGTCTCAGGTTAGCCCAACTCCCCACAAGGGTGAGTCACTTTTCCTCACTTTGTTGTTTTTTTTTTTTTGTTTGTTTGTTTGTTTTTGGTTTTTTTGTTTGTTTGTTGGCAGAATTGAGGATTGAACTCAGGCCCTTGTGCTTGCCAGGCAAGTGCTTATTCTACCGAGCCATCTCCCCAGCCCGTGTTTTCCTCACTTTGGAGAGTACTGAACCCAAGTGGAGGGAGAGCAGTCCCTGAGTAAGCAGCGTAAGGAGTGTCCAGCACAGAGGTGGTGGGCCACAAACACCAGTCCCCTCCGCCTTCCTACCTCCCTAGACCCCTTTACAGGGAACAAAGCTTTTGGTACACAGACCCTGGACCCCTGTATGCTTAGGGGCCTGAGCCCCTAAGCTGGGAAACTCAAGCTCAAATAACTGGGCTATTTGGGGTTACCATGCCAAGGCCGGGCTTGGCCTGGGTCTTATGGGCTTTTTTGTCTGTCCCAGGGAGTAAACCCCAAGCCATTATACTGAGCTACATCCTCAGCTCTTTTTTGCCTTTTATTTAAGTCTCACTGAGATGTTAAGTATCCAGACTGGGCTCAAACTTGGAATCCTCCTACCTCAGCATCCCAGAGTGCTGCGATTACAGGTGTGCACCACTATGCACAACTTGTGTTGCTGACTCTTGACCACTGGGGCAGCAGCTCCTGGGACACACTGCTCCCTAGCATCTCAGCAGGGGACAGATGTACAAAGTGGCAGCCCTTGTGGGTAGAGCTGCGTCCTTATGGACGATGGCACAACATGAAAGCAAACTGAATGTCAGCATGTCCAGCAACAGCTCCTCTACTTTTGGTTCCCCCAAAATAGAGAAGCCCAGGGCTGAAGGCCTTACCAACTGTGCCAGGAGGCACCTGGGTGAACTGAGGCAGGGGAATATGGAATGGGGTGAGGGGTGCCAGCTGAATTCATGTAGTCAAAGGCAGAGACTTTGAAAGGAGACAAGGAGGGGCAAGCACGAACAGGAGAGAGGCAGGAGTTCCTCAATCCTTCCAGCCCCGGGCAGATGTGAAGGCCCTTTTCTATTTCTCAGTACAAAGGCCTAGTGATCCAGAACAGGGCGGAGGGGCCCAAGCGCCTCTGCCAGCCACTTTGAGCACCAACACAGCTGGTGGACAGCACCAGCAAGAAGGGAGGAAAGATGCGTGCAAAATACAGAAGGCACAGGGCATGAAGCCACAGAGAGCACCCAGCAAGGGGCTGCAGCGGGCACCGCTGTAAAGCAGTATGTGTGCAGCAGAAGCCGACCAGTGCATACAGCCGGTGCAGAGGAAGCATCTGCTGCATGAAGGAAATTTATTCTCCCCAAACACAGGCCTGGACATAGCACCAGTTACCTGGTGCTATCACACAAGCATCTCAGGTCAGACTTAGAGACTCCCAGCAGCAGGTGTGCTGCTCAGGGTCAAAACAGGGCTTGCGGTGCCTGGGCATTTCTTTATCCTGGTTTGTTGGGTTTATTTCTGTTTTTGTTTGCCTTTAACATTATTCTGCGAACATTCTCCATGTCAATGAAAGACTGAGCTGTGACAGAGGGCTAACTGCTTTAATACACAAAGAGCTCTTCAAACCAGTAAGAAATGGATGAACAAACAGGAAAAGGACAATAACAAGGATTCACCAAAGAAAGGAAAACAAAGAGCCACTAAACACGAAAGCAACATTTAACCTTGCTTGGGACAAAAGAATAGACTACAAATCTTCCAGGGCTCACCCTTCCTGCCTTTCAAAGGTCTGGAATATTTAGTAAGACTCATGTGGGGAGTCAGGATGAGTAGACATGCTTACACACTGCTGGTGGAAACAACACAACACTTAGTATAACTTCTTCGAAGGCCTAAGAGGGTACACCTGCCAAAATTTTAGTTGCATATAACATTTGATCCAGCAATTCCACTTCGGCCAGGTAAGGTGGTACACACCTGTAATTTCAGCACTCAGGAGGCTGAGGCAGGAGGATTATTGTGAGTTCAAGGCCAGCCCAAACTATATAGCAAGCTTGTCTCAAAACCACTCCCCCAAGAAAGCAATTCTGCTTTTAAAAATTCATGCTGTGATCAAAACAGTGCATGAATATTTTGTGCAAAAAAATATTTTATTACAGTGAAAGATACATTGCCATTAATCCCTTGCAGAATAGTCCCTGTCACTTTGAACACACTTGTCCCATCATTCTTGTTCTGGAAGTCCTCTTTCATGACTGTCTTTAGTTGTGCTGTCAAGGCTGCTTCGATGTCCTGAGTTAATCCAAAATGTTCACTTATCATGATTACTTAGACTTTGGGAAGGAGCCAAAAGTCACAGAGTGCCAGGTCCAGTGAACAAGATGGACGAGGACACACTACACTGTCTGCCAGGAGTCTGCTTTTGTGAATGTCACTTGGCAGCACCTTTCACTGTATTTTTTCTCTCAGTGTGTAAAGACACAAAAGACCTGCAGAACTGCCTCAGAAAGTAGCAACAGTGATTGGATAAGTGTGCCCGAAGCAAAAGGGAGTATTTAGGGGAGATTAGTGGTAACGTGTCTTTTCCTATGAAACTATTTTTAACTTAAACAATTACCATATTTTTAATCACATATATAATGTAAAATCATTAAGTACAGGATATGCCATATTATTTGCTTGGGTTTTTTGAGACAGTCTTGTTATGCAGTTCAGGTTGGCTTTGAGCAGTGATGTAGCCTAGGCTGGCTTCAAATTCAGTGATCCTCCTGCTTCAGCCTCCGAGTGCTGGGATTACAGGTGTGCACCATCATACCCAGCTGTAGGGGTTTTTTTGTGATCCAGGTATAGTAAGTACACATCTTTAATTCCAGTATTCTGGGAGGGTTAGGCAGAAGGATTGCAAGTTCAAGCCTATCCCAGGCAACTTCTCAAAATTTAAAAAAAAAAAAAAAGGCTGAGATACAGCTCAATGGTAGACCTCTTGCCTAGTATGTACAAGGCCCTGGGTTCTGATCCTAACACTAAAAAAAGGAATAATAAATATGTGCTTACTAATAAATAACGAACAATCACCTACTCTATAAAGTATTAAAAGAAGACACATGCATTGATATGGGAAGTTATTCAAACAACAGTAAGAAAAGACAAAGTATCAAATAAAAGGTATAACATGCTCTCATTTGTTCAATGTTAAGTTAGACACATGTATGAATATGCACATATGTGTGCGTACGTACATGCCATCTACATACATATGCCTAGGTGGTTTCAGGAAATACAAAACTCTTACAGCCTTGGGGAAAGGGAAGGAATCTTACTGCACTTTACATCTTCCCAGAGGTCTAAATTCTTTTTTCTATCATGATTATGCATTACTCATATAATTAAAAATAGTAATAGCCAGAGAGCAATTCAGTGCTAAGGCACTGGAGGTCAATTCCTGATCTAGAAATAAGCCAGCTCTGGCCAGAAAGAAGCCATGGAGAAGCAGCCAGCAGAGGGAGGAGGCTGAGTCATTTCAGACTCAGAACATCCCTACCTCCACCCTCCACTCTGCCAAGGGGACCCGAGGCAGCTCTCCCCTCCTCCCCAGGGGTGAGCCAGTGCTGCAAGCTGCCCTGGACTGCAGTGGAAGGTGCAGACTAGGCCAGCTGGCCTGGTGCAGCCACCTACCGTCGGAACTGACATCTTCCAGAGCAGGGCCTGGGGTGCTGCTGATCGCTTCACCCTCCGGGGGGCTGGGGTCTTGTGGCCCAGGCTGTCTGTGAGTGTCCTCCTCCTCTTGCACCGGTGTCGGTGTCCAGCGGGGAAGGTAAGAGGTGCCCTGGGAGATGAGCTCGTGCAGGTAATGCTCAATCACCTCTTTGCCCTGGAAGCCAGAGAGACCCCAGATATGTCACCATGGGCCAGGACAGCAAGAGCACCACACATCTGCGAGTCACCACCTCCCCTGGCTGATTCAGATCCCAGCCCAAACAGTGCAGTCTATGGGCAGCTGCAATGTGGTCATAGGATGGGGATGTGCTACAAGTGTCAGATACACGTGGCATTCCTGGACTCAGAGTGGAATGAAGAATAAAAACTAACACATTTTTATATTAACAACACATTAAATAAATTATGCTATTAAAATTAATTTCACCTGTAATTACCTAACTAGGCCTCCACCCAGTTGAGGATTCTGAGTTCTTTAGACCAAGGAATAACAACTTAAACCAGGAAAACCCAGCACACAATATCTCTCCTATGTCCATTGAGTTCACTACACAAGCCCCCACCAACTCAAAGGGGATGACACAGTCATTAGGGTGCCCCCAGTACAGGTTACCCTTTCCCTCCATTATGTCAGGCAATACAATCATGACTAGAAACCCATTTTACAGATGAGAAGACTGGCTAGGAAGGTAAAGGCTCTTGCCCAGGACCATACAAGTTGTCAGGGGAGAAGGTCTGGGCAGCCCCCACTCACCCTCTTGACATTGGCTGTGTACTGCTTCATGGCTATCTTCTCCAGGGCATTTTCAAAGCCAAAGAAGGATCGGATGTCCAGTGAGGCAGACTGCTCGAAGCAAGTCCAGTCTTCATTCTCAGGGTGGACCTGAAAGCCAGACAGGCCAATGCCAGGGTCTCAGTGCGGTGATGTCATGCCCTCCCAAGGGCAGCAGACAGCATGTCATATCCTGGCGACACCATGGGGCCCCACCCAGAGGATAAGGCTAAGTCTATGCTATTGAGGAACAAAGAGCCTTTCCATGAGGAGCTAGAGAAG